TGGCAACATAAGGCACCCGCCCTTTTTCCTCTTCTTAAAATGGTTTTGACACGAGACTCGGTGATAGAGAAAGTTCCTTTTATTTTTAATTAGGATGTTTTCCTGTCTAGTTTGTATTGGAAGGTGTTATATCCATTGTAGTGCTGCATGGCAAATAGACAGGAAAAGAAAATGGCAGTGAGTATGGATTATTTTTCTATTTTATATCTGCTCTGAACGAATAATCACAGTTCTGCGATTTGTACTTCCTCTTGATTTTGGACTATGTGGATGAGATTTTGAAAGCAATTTGGATAATTTGTGAAAAATACCCAGTTTAAGTGTAGACCTTAGATATGCTTAGTAATGTTACTCTTTCACCTTAATTGTGGAAGTATGAGCCTGCCATCACAGAAGAGCAGCATGCATATTGCCTTTTTTTCTAGGGATTTTGCAGCATTACTAACTGGAATTTGAAAAGCTCAGTATGTGAGTAAATGTTATTTTTTTAAGGTATGGTTGTGCCTGGCATGTGTAGGGTTAAAGATTAGAATCAATTGCTTTTTTTTAACATGGTAGCGTTCCTTTATATCACTCTCGTCCAGTATTTTTGGGGTGAATTGTGTGATGTGTTTGCCAGAAGAATAATCACAATAGTGACAGTGCACTCGCTGTGTAGATGTGATGGAGAGTCTGTGGGATCCTGTAGCACTCCAGTGCACTCCAGTGCAAATAACTGATTGACAGGTTAAGGAACAGCTAATCATTTTGTATTTTAGACCCCATGCATCTATAGGAACATCTGACAGACTTACACTGTGGATCATGAAGACTGAACACCTGATCAGAGCTAAAAAAACAAACTTAACAATATTTGTAAGTATTTACATGGTGGCGCTCCTTAGAAACAGTTACTGAATACTGAATAGTAAACTTATTAAGCCGTTTATTTGCTCTCCATTTTACCAGGCAATAAATGATTTTTTTTAGTATCATTAGGTTAGTGTATATTAGTGGTTATTGAATAGCAAAAAATACAATAAATACAGTATTATCCAGTGGGACACTTACATAAAAGAATAAACCAAAAGATACTCAAAACACCTTGGTGAGTACCCTTCACCCTCACATCAAATTTAAATATACATACAATGTAAGGTGGAATGTCTTCTGGTTACAGATAATAACAGGTAAATCCTAAAAGTAGAACAGATAATAACACTTGATAGTGCAATATTGTCTGAATAGTAAGTGAAATGAGGATAAAGTATATAGTGATACACTCACAAAATTAGAGCCTGTAAAACAAGGCTCAATTATCCAGCGCTGTGGGATTAAGGATCACCACTTCCTTCTTTTTGCTTGCCAGGGGGTGGAAAAAATCCAATGTCCTCTCACATATAAGTATAAATAGTAAAAGTGCTTTAATAGTAAAGTGCACAAATAGAAATAAAAAAAAACAACACCTTACAGTTTAAGGTAATCTTGTTAGAGTAGTCTCTAGCTGCAATACGCGTTTCGCCTCATCTGGAGGCTTCCTCAGTTGCTCTGATTGATTGTAGTTAATAATCTGTATTTATATACAATCTTTTGCGCCCTTTTTTGCTCTCCTCTCCCTGTTCGCGGCATTTCCGCTTCCGCGTTCCATCAGTGGAACGCATCAATCGAGTCACTTCCGGTTTCGGCTTTTGCGTTCCACAGGTGGAACGCATGCGTTGTTCCTCCGGTTTTCGTGTATTTAGGTGTAAATAAATTATGGGGAATAGTCCATATGGGTATAGAGGGGCATTAGTAGTATAAATCTCATAGCTAATGGATATAAAGGACATAAGTATTGAATAGGCATTCCAAACATACAGATAAAGGACATAAGTATTGAATGAACATTCCAAACATACAAATCTAATTAATATCTTAATTAAAAATGGCAAACTTCAAAGTCTAAATTTAACCCGTGGGTTAAATTTAGACTTTGAAGTTTGCCATTTTTAATTAAGATATTAATATTCTTTTAAGGTACTAATACTAAAACCATCTAGTTTTTATGCGGTATTAATAGGTTTTTTCTTATATTCTTTTATATGGTTATGCCTATTATTATATTTTATATTATATTTTATTATCTACATTTTATTTAGCACTTGCCTACTTTCCTATTTTTAAGGTTGATTTATATTAGGGTCTCTTTCTTTTCCAGACAGTTATTTGTTAGATTTGTATGTTTGGAATGTTCATTCAATACTTATGTCCTTTATCTGTATGTTTGGAATGCCTATTCAATACTTATGTCCTTTATATCCATTAGCTATGAGATTTATACTACTAATGCCCCTCTATACCCATATGGACTATTCCCCATAATTTATTTACACCTAAATACACGAAAACCGGAGGAACAACGCATGCGTTCCACCTGTGGAACGCAAAAGCCGATACCTGTTATTATCTGTAACCAGAAGACATTCCACCTTACATTGAATAGCAAAAGACTGCTATTTAAGCCACAGTGACAATTATTTTTTTTCTCAGCCAGATTGCTTAGAATAAAGCCCAGTGTATGGAAAAGAAGATACGCACTGCTGGTTTTAATTGCTTGGGTTTGGATATAACTAGAAACATCTGATCCCAGTGGTACAAGGGGGAGTTAGGAGGGCCTCTAGGGATGCTCTCGCGAATATTTTTTTTAAATGTAATTTTCATAACACTCCTGTTGCTCTCCTTTTGATGCTTAACCTCTTCACAACAAGGGCTATTTTATACCGTAAATGAACACTATAGGGTCAGGAATACAAACATGTACAGTTGTAATCGAAATTATTCAACCCCCATTGAAAATCAGGTTTATTGTCAAAATTTCAGCAGTTTGCAATGAACAAATCAAACAAAAGCAATTGAAATAGCTGAACACAACAAATGCTTCAAATGGCCTCCCCAAATTCATCTGAAAATGCAACTTATAATGACTTCTCCAGTCTCAAAATTATTCAACCCCCTGAATAGAATCCCTCACAACAGCACACATAAACAAATCAGGTGTTGTCTCAAGCACACCTGATGCAACTAATCAAGGGCTTCATTAGTTGCACAAAGTGTGCTTGAGCTGGAACACTTGAAATACTTGAACTGGCTGGGGGTTTGTTGAGTATCACGTTTGACTGCATGTTAGAAATACAGCTAAGTCAAAAGAATAAAAGGTAAGAGAAGAGATCATCGCCCCTCACAATTAAGGAGCAGTATACAAAAAGATAGCAAAGGCACTGAATGCTCCTAGAAACACAGTTGAAAGCATTGTTTGCAAGTTCAAAGTTAAAGGAAAAGTGGTTACATGGATTGGGCAGAAAAAGGAAGCTATCAATCAGAGAAGGCAGTTTCTGAGTCACCCTCCAGGAACTGAAAGAAGCATAGGCTGAAAAAAATCACTCTGGCTACAGTTAAGCACAGTGGTTGCTTGATAATGCCCTGGGGATCCTTTGCATCTTCTGGCACTGGAAACCTGCAGGGTGTGGAAGGCAAGATGAATTCATTTAAGTATCAGGAAATCCTAGGAAAAGACATCATACTGTCTAAGAGGAAGATGATGCCTGGGCGTCATTGGACCTTCCAACAAAACAATGATCTGAAGTGTACCTTAAATTCCACCATGGCTTGGTTGCAAAAGAAGTCCTGGAAAATTCAAGAGTTGCCATCACAGTCACTGACTTAAACCCCCTAGAAAATCTCTGGTGGGATTTAAAGAAGGCTGTTGTAACACTCAAACCCAAGAATATTACTGAACTGGAGGTCATTGCTCATGAGCAATAGGCTAAGATTCCTCAGGAACACTGCCAGCAACTGGTGTCTAGCTATGCATCTCGTTTGCTGCAAGTCATAACAGCAAAAGGGTCCTCTACTAAGTACTAAATATGCTTGCCATGAATGGGTTGAATAATTTTGAGACTAGGGGGCCTGATAGCCAACCAAGATGGTCGCAGAAGACTGGAGCACCTCTTAGAAATCCTTTTATTAGGCTTAATCCTGGACATTAACACTATAATCTTTTAGCATCAACCTTATTGCCACTGAGGAGCATTATGTCTCATGTTCAACCTGCTTTGGCTCAGCTTTGGTGGGCACAGCCCATTAAAGATGCCTTTGCAGCCTGCAGACATACTTGAGACATGGGCGGCAGCCGATCCTCTGCCCGGGTTTGTAAATCACCCACATGAGCCATGTTCCCCCCTTCTGGACCGGTGGGCGTTATATCGGTCTCCACTGGCACCCTTGCATGGCATATCATCAGTGGCTTTTTAACCCAAGCGATTCAGTAGGTTATGGCCTACTGCTTAAACCGGCCGTCGTGCCGCAGCCTGCTGCCACACAGACCTTCCCACAGCCATCTGACTATGATGACCCGTTTCTTCAGGCCTTTGACAGGCTGTGTGCCCAGTTCTGGGCAAAGCTGAGTGCTCACCTACCTGCCACTCCTCTTGTGAGTCGAGGTAGAGTCTCTTGTATTTAATCTGAGGGCTACCAGCACGTGGCGGGATCTCTCCCATGTGGCCATCACAGGATATTGCTGAGTTGGATGCTCATGAGTTGAATTACATCATGGACTGCCATAGCAGGCGCATAACTGCCGCATCCGGTGGTGAAAAGAAGACTGTGAAGGCCACAGCCAATACATGCTTGCAGCAAGCTGATCAATACCTCCTGCCACCTGGTCCCCAAGTGGAGCCCCAGTTGTTTCCGACACTCCAAGCCCAACCTGCGCTGTCTGACAGTGTCATGCTTGGTTGGGGACAGCTTGCAGACGAAGAGGAAACCTCTCCACACTGTTAGGCTTCCCTCCAGCAGGTCAAACGCCAGCTGCTTTAGCTCTACCCCCTTTTATGACACGGTACGCAACGTCACCGTTGCACTGCGTGACAATGTCATGACGCAAATTACATCATGGCCTGACAAAATTTCCCAACTCTGACATTTTGGGGGCGTGGCTTCAAGTTTAAAGATCAAGCCTATAAAAGGCAGATTCACCCATAGTTCTTTGCCCTGTTTTGGTTCTACTTACAGTTCCCAATAGTGCTTTACTTTTCTGTGTATCTTGTGTATCATCCTCGGCTTTCTGACCATTCTCACTTCTGTATTATTGACCCAGCTTTTGTATTTCGCTACTGTGATTTCTGGTTCCCTTGACTCGACATCTATCCCTCGATTATGTGACTTCTGGCTCCCTCGACCTTGGCTTGTCCTTGATCATTCCTTATCTATCTAACGTTAAGTCCGGCCATTCTAAGTCCCGATATACGTTCTTCTATAACATCCTGCATGTTGGGTCTCTAAGGAATCCTGACATTACAACAGGGCCTTGATGGACCCTGCAGGTGTAAGTCCTCAAAGGCTCTCTTATGATGATAGGTTTGAAGAGATGGAACATAGAATGGACCAAATGGCTCTCACTTTACAAACCTTATTGGCACGTTCAGTTGTTCAACCAGCAGAAGCCTAAAGGCCCACCGTAGCTCCTGTATCCTCAGGGATGTAAGTGGCACCTTACGGTACCACCTCTCATGTAACCTCTCCGTTACGCCACCGAGGAGCAACAGAGGCTTGTCGTGGTTTTTTAAACCAGATAAGCATTCATTTTGAGCTACAACCAACAGCATATCCCACTGACAGAGCAAAAATAGGTTTTATCATAACACTCTTGATAGATAAAGCCTTAATTTAGGCTAGCCCCTCATGGGAGAATGATAACCCCCCTGGTATACAATTATGTAGTGTTTATTAAAGCTTTCAGGAGAACTTTCGATCCTTCTGGTTAAAAGGCTAATGCAGCCCAGTCCCTTCTCTATCTTAAACAAGGGAGCAAGCCGTTAGTCAAATACGCTCTAGAGTTTAGATCTTTGGCAGCAGAAGTGTGATGGAATAATTAGGCCTTTGTTGACATGTTTCTAAACGGGCTGTCAGATACCATTTTAAACGAGGTTGCTACAAGGGACCTACCAGAAAACCTAGAGGATTTAATTTCATACCTATCTCGTATAGACAAGAAATTGAGAAATAGACAGAATACCAGGGAAAGACCATGGCCATTGCCTTGCCAGAAACCATGCAGTTAGGAGTGATTCGATTAACTGAGGCAGAGAAGCAGTATCGTAGAAGAGAAGGGTTATGTCTATACTGCGGAAAAAGCTTAACATGTCCTAGTAGGCTGGAACACTCCTGCACCTAAGTCCTTAAGGAGGACAGGCCTTGGGTGTGTCAACTACATCCTCCAAGTCTACAGTTATTAAACATAGGCTTCTTATCCCCATAACATTGATCTGGGAGACTAATGTATTACATGCATTGGCATTACTAGACTCGGGTTCAGCCTTTATTGACTGCTCTTTTGCCAAAAATCATTCTATCCCAACAAGGTTAAGGGACACAGCCCTGGTCATTTGAGGCCATATATGGCAGACGCTTACAGAATCCTATGATCTCTCATGAAACCATACCCTTACAGATGCACGTTGGAATCCTGCATAAATAATTAATCATATTGCAAGTCATATCCTCTCCTGCATTCCCTCTTGTTCTAGGATTTCCTTGGTTAAAAAGACATAATCCCTTTACAGACTGGGAGAGTGGTGAAGTGATATCATGGAGAAAAAATTGTATCCCAGACTGTGTGACAAAGGTTAAACTGGTACTTTTGATTAATATTCCAACCATGACTCCTTTGTCAACTGAAATACCGGAACCATACCTTGGGGTTAAAGAGGTATTCGACAAAGGAAAAGACAAAGTCTTATCACCTCATAGTACTTATGACTGTCATATAGAACTACTACCTGGCACTATGTTACCTTGAGGTACCGTATATCATCTTTTCATGAAGGAAAATGAAGTATTGGAAGAGTACATAAAGGAAAATTTGAGGAAGGGGTTTATCAGAAAATCATCTTCCCCAGCAGGGGCTGAATTCTTCTTTGTTACAATTTAATAAGGAGATCTCAGACCATGCATTGATTATCGAGGGTAAAACAAGATCATGGTCAGAAACGCCTATCCTATACCTCTAATAACAGAACTCTTTGATCGATTAAAGGAGGCTGCAATATTTACTAAGTTGGATCTAAGGGGAGCATGCAACTTAGTTAAAATACACAAAGGAGATGAATGGAAGACAACCTTTAACCCCTTAAGGACCAAACTTCTGGAATAAAAGGGAATCATGACATGTCACACATGTCATGTGTCCTTAAGGGGTTAATACAAGATATGGTCATTCTGAATATACAGTGATGCCCTTTGGTCTATGTAATGCACCGGCTGTCTTCCAGGATCTCATAAACGATGTCTTGATGGATTTTTTGCATGAATGTGTGATTGTATACCTTGATGACATTCTGATCTATTCAAGAAACATTGAGTCACATCACAACCATGTGAAAAAAGTATTGGTCTGTTACGTAATGGTTTATACTGTAAATTGGAGAAATGCCTTTTCGATCAAAATCAAATCAATTTCTTGGGTTATGTGATATCCAAGGAAGGCTTTCGATGGATCCTAAGAAATTGGAATCCATATTGCATTGGCCACTACCTCATGGGCTTAAAGCCATACAGAGATGTATTGGTTTCTCTAACTACTATAGGAGGTTTATCAAAAGGCTTTTCTTCTACTATAGCCCCAATAACTTATATGACTCAGAAAACTGCAGATTCCAAAAATTGGAAGCCTGAAGCCATAAAGGCCTTTGAATCCTTGAAATTTTCATTTTTGTACAATCCTGATCTTACCCTACCCTATTAGCTCGAAGTTGATGCTTCTGAAACAGGGGTAGGAGCAGTATTATCTCAGAGGAAGAGTCCAGATCAACCTTTACATCCTTGTGGTTTCTATTCTATGAAATAGGCGATAGGGAACTGTTGGCCATTGTACAAGCATTGAAAGAATGGAGGCATTTGTTAGAAGGAACTCCCATCCCTATTACGATACTTACCGATTATAAAAACCTGGCTTACTTGGGGGAGGCCAAGAGGTTAACCGCTAGACAAGCACGCTGGTCTCTTTTCCTGGCGAGATTAACTATATTTTAACATATAGACCAGGGACAAAGAAATACTAAGGCTGATGCTCTACCATGCCAGTGTGAGCCTCAAACAGGTCTTATAACAGATTTGTCAACTGTTATACCAAACTCTCATATCATAGCACATTCCTGACCTTGTTGATGACATAATATCCAAACAGAATCAGGCCCCCGACTGAACATTAACAAGCTATACTTGCCTATCATCATGACAGTAAAACCGCTGGTCATCCTGGTATGAAGAAAACATACTCTCTTATAGCCACAGAGTATTGGTGGCCATCTTTGCAGAAAGATGTTAAGGACTATATACTGGCCCATGATACCTGTTCTAGGAATAAACAACCACACACACTTCTGTGTGGGTTATTACAACCTTTAGAAATACCAAATAAACCTTGGATTAGCATAGCGATTGATTTTATTGTGGAATTACCCCTATCTAATAAGAAAACTGTTATATTGACTGTAATAGACAGGTTTTCCAAAATGGCACACTTTAAAGCGCTTACGAAGTTACCTTCTTCACCTGAGTTAGCCAACATCTTTGCTAAAGAAGTCTTTAGATTGCATGGCATCCCGAGGGAAATAATATCAGATAGGGGTTCCCAATTTGTCTCATGACTTTGGAGAGGGTTCTGTGCTTAATTGGGAATTAAGCTCTGCGTTTCATCTGCTTATCACCCTCAACACAATGGAGTGGCTGAACGTACCAATCAAATGCTCGAACAATATTTGAGATGTTTTGTATCAGAACATCAAGATAATTGAGATGAATTGATTTCATAGGCTGAATACACCCATTCGCCAACTCTCCTTCACCAACCATACACCCAGGGGGACGACCATTAAACCAGTTCCTCTTCAGCCTCAACATAGAGCCTCATCTCATGTGTGGAGGGAACAGCTATATTCACTCTGGGGATTGCTATACTCATGATACTCCCCTGGCTTCTAATCACTTGCTCTTTTAAGAGCAGCCTGCTACACTCTCTGGAGTAGGAGAGGTTCACCCACTGGAAGCTGAAACCTTGTGTTGGGTCCAGGGTGGGTGAAGGACGGCAAGACCCCAACCAAGCTGCGGCGGTTTGTGGGATCTACAGTGCTGATGGTGTCTAGTGGAGTGCTTGGAGTCCTCGGTGAGCACTAGGAGCATTGATTGACGGAGGCACCCTTCAGATTTGGTGGCAGTGTTGGGATGGCTTCCTAGTGCGAGGAGAAGCATCCTGGAGACACCGGTAATGTGTGGATTATATTGAGTGCAACGCTAGCATGCATGCAGTGCCCCTGGAAGCAGATATGCCCACAGGCTTGGAGCAGGCTCAGAGTTGCTGTTTGAGATGCAGCAGCGACTAGCCTGGTATGGCTCTAATGTATCGATGGAGACCTTCCGGGCGATCTGGGACCAGGTGACCGTCGAGTTCCTGATGGCTAAAATGAGGGGAGCGGAAGGTGTTGTCCTTCCTCCCCAGCGGCAGAGTGTGTTATTGGTAGAAGAGAGACCCATCACAGGGAGAGGAGACAACTGGTCTCTCCCCAGCAGCAGCCGGAGGTACCCGAAGTAGGGGACCTCATAGACTGGTCCTGGGAGGAACCCCAACTGGCAGGTGGAAATGGGACCAAAGTCTCTCCACTGGCCCTACAGGGATGTTGGGCAGCCGGCCCAGATCCCAGCTACAGCCGGAGGTACCCGAAGTAGGAACCCCAACTGCCAGGTGGAAATGGGACCAAAGATGAAGATGGGTGACAAAGTCCCCTTTTCCTGTGAGTTTGTCATGAGTCCTTGGAGGGGCCTGCTTGCCAGCCTCCTGCTCACATCCTATGGACCCTGTAAACTGTGATATAAAAGTCTCTGTTTGTCTATTTGAATGATATGTTTCGGTAACTGAGCAGCCGCATGAACCAGAGACCACCCTGGAGCTTGTTAAACTTAATTGGTACATTGTTGCAATTTCCACCGCAGTGGTCTAAGTGTTCATCTGGGTGGCCGCAATTCCCATGGACCAAAACCGCGAATAGACTACAGGGGGACATCGCTGCAAATGCCCTGGAACTATTTTCGGCATGAAAATTTTGCGGTTCCCGGTCAGTTCCCAAGTGGCACTTAGCCGCGATTCTATGGAACTATTTTCGGCTATGGGACCATGCCTGCGGTCAGTAAAAACTATGACTTCCAGGAAATTCCTGAACCTCTGAACTGATCTGGGTGATTTTTGGACATGTTGGTCACCCAGATCAGGGCAATCAGCGGAGAGTCCTCGGTGAGCACTAGGAGCATCAATTGACGGAGGCACCCGGTTGGGCCAGTATACGTTCTTCTATTACATCCTGAGTGTTGGGTCTCTGAGGAATCCTGACAGACAGTTCCCTCTCAGCAAGGCAGAGCGCTTGCCTCAAGGTTGATCCGGCGTCCTGTTCCTGTGGTCAGTCATTGTTGGCCTCATGGAGGTGCACAACTGGACCACATCGGAGTATGGTGCTGGTGGGCTTCCCCTCCACGGCTTGGTGGACTTTAGACTCCATATGCCAATAGCCTCCCATGCTCACGCAATCCCATGAGTCTCTTTGACACCTTTAACTCTCTTCTTCTACTTGCTGCCCCTATCGGATCTCTCTCCCCCTGTCTTGTGCCTTCTCTAACACACATCTTAAACTGCTCTCTCTCTTCTGGCATTGTCCCTGCTGACCTTAAACATGCCACTGTAGTACCTGTCCTGAAAAAACATTTCTTGACCCCTTCTCCGCCTCTACCTATTGTCCCATATCCCTGCTGCCTTTTTCCTCAAATCTTCTGGAAAGACTTGTCTTTACTCGTATGTCACACTTCTTCAATTCCAACTCTCTTCTTGACCCGCTTCAATCTGGCTTTTGCCCTCTCCACTCTACTGAGACTGCTCTTATCAAAGCTACTAATGACCTAATCGCAGCTAAATCCAAAGGCCACTAATCCATACTAATTCTTCTTGACTTCTCTGCTGCCTTTAACACTGTTGATCATGCTCTCCTTCTTCAAACTCTTCATTCACTCGGTCTCTGGGACTCTGTCCTCTCGTGGTTTTCCTCTTATCTCTCCCAACACTCATTCACTGTCTCCTTTTCTAATGATACCTCCTCCCCCTCGTCCTGTCTCGGTTGGAGTCCCCCAAGGCTCTGTCCTTGGTCCCCTTCTATTTTCTCTTTATGCTGCATCTCTTGGCAAACTTATTACCTCATTTGGATTCCACTACCACCCGTACACTGATGACACCCAGATATATCTCTCCTCCTCGGACCTCTCCCCTGCCGTCCTGCAATATGTCACTGCTTACCTTTCTTCCATCTCTGACTGGATGTCCTCCTGCTTTTTTAAATTCAATCTCTCTAAAACTGAGCTCCTTGAGGCTCATGCTCTCTTTTTAAGAAGCATTGTTTCCTACAAAAAACAAAATTCAAGTCTTTGTCACTGTGTTACAATACAATTGGAAACCTCAATAAGGAGGTCAAGCTGTCTTATATGCTCAACTGGGAAAAAGATCTGAATAAGTCATTCCCTCTCTCATATTGGCTAGTAGCTATATGATACACTGAAGCATCTTCTAAAAATTTATCTCATTGGGAAGCACATCTCAAATTAATAATGAGATGGTACTTAGTCACACAAGCCAGATCCACATGCTGAAGATGCGACAAGGACATCGGTTCTAGACATGTGCAATTCGTTTCGTTCTGAATGCAAATTAGGACGAATTTAGGAAATAGGGCATTCGGATGCTTCCGAATGTCCAAAGTGCCGAATTTCCAAAGTGCCGAATTTCCGAAGTGCCGAATTTCTAAATGCCAAACAGAAGCGAAGTTCTGAGTTTCGGAATGCTGAACCCAATTGCCAAAATGCCGAATTTCGGAAGTGCCGAAGTGCTTCGGATTTCTGAAAAGTTGCAAAACAGAAGAGGGTTGGGGTAGGGTTAGTGGTTGGAGTAGGGTTAGGTTTAAGGGTTGGGGTAGGGGTAGGGTTAGGGGCTACCTCTAATCCTACCCTAATCCTAAACCAATCTTAAACAAACCCTAACCCTACCCCTAACCCAACCCTAACCCTACACTTACCCGAAGTCCTGAAGTGTTGAAGTGCCAAAGTTCCGAATTTCAGAATGCCGAAATGAATATTTTCCCCATGCACATCCCTAATCGATTCCTTCTGACATGTTCTGGGACTGCTCGGGCCTGACTTAGTTCTGGCAAGTCAGACATAGTAGACATGGCAGTAGGAATATCCATTCCACGTCTTCCGGAATACATTTTACTGCATTTATCCCAGACCTGGAACACCTCCCCAACAGAATAGAATTGAAACCAGAGATAGGAACAAGGATAAAATGTCGGGTTGCATGCATAGACTGGGGGATAACCCCTAGAAATTAAACTAAATAAAGAAAGAAGAGGAACAAAGAACAGAGAAACCAGGAATAAAGATATATATAAATCCTAAAGGTTCCCTGTGATTGTTAAGCAACCCAAAGGTTAATAATTAAAAAAAAACTTTTATTAAATTCCTTCTAAAAGTCAATAACTAAAAAGATAAGTGAAAAGTGACATATTTGAAGAGAGAGGAGAATCGAGTTACTGCAAAAGCTCTGTAGTACCAAAAATAGAAAAAATAGTAATCTAGTGGATGCTATAAAACATCCCGTAAAGTCTAGAGAGTGACAAGCTATATAACCCTAATATAGTAAATACTGACTCCTAACTCCCATTATTCTAAGGTTGAAATCATCTGCCTAACAAAGACAAAAACAAAAAACCTCAATGGAAGGTGCTCAGAGGTTAAAAAAGTTAAATATTAAACTAGAGAGAAGGTGGTCATATCTAGAACGTAATACTAATTCTGGCTGCAGCATCGTCCCCACAAAGTCTCTAACCACCCGCTCATATAAAGTCCCGAAGCGCGTTTCGCCACGAGGGCTTTTCAAGGGACAGAGCACTGGTACTTGACCTCCTCATAGCAGCAAATATCTGCACTGCTTTTCACTGGAAAAGTGTTTTTACCTTACCTTTTGAAACTACATACAAACCCCTACTTGTCTCTATCCCCTTTTCTCAGTCCCATCCTGACAATCATAACATATGTCAACACTTTATGGTAAGGACATCAACATAGCTCGATTTAATGAGGGTGCTTTCCTATCAACAAGACTCTTAACAACACCACTTTATCGTACTCACCTGGGATGGAGCTGGGTACCAAAACCCTACCATTCCTCCCTGCCCCCCAACCCCCCACCCTTCCATAAAGAAGCAATAATAAGAACTGATTCAGGGCAATGCTGATGGTCAAGCAAGAAAATGAAGAGGATGGCATGCTACAAGGGATCAATACTTATGTCTTCTTTCCTCAATTCACCAACTAACCCCTCCACATCCCAACTAGGCTTTCTACCTCACTTACAAAAATTTCAATTAAAAAAGAAAAAGGGTGTTGAAGTTCTGTGTGTGTATCCTCTCAATCCTTTCAAAATGAATTCCAGAGTTACATATGGGAGAAACACTGGCCTTTTCAAAATTGCAGGTGCAGTGCGACAAAATAAACTCTGTAGAATATTACTATGTTTCTATTTATATTCTTAGTACGCATGGATGTCTAATGGGTTAAAAAGAACAGATGGTACTTTGCTATGATTTACCATTAGAACTCTGGAATGTGCTAATTGGGGGTCTTGTCCTTATATGGCTAGGGTTATACTCTGACGTCATTATGGTCATATCTATATAGAATAATGAACAAAGGACCACAAGGTTGTTCTTCTTGTCCAGCTGTCTAACTATGTAGACCAAGCATGTCAAACTCAAAGGCTAGGTTTACGTTTATGTAGGCTGCAAAAAAACAAACTTCAGTTTCCATAGAAATGTAGGTTTATTTAGAAAAGCACAGTGTAAAAAAAGTTGCCTAACTGACACTGGACGTCCTTGTGCTCGTAGGGCTTCAAAATAAACAAAAGAGCCAATTTATTTTAAGGAGGCATTTGCATATAAACAACATTTCAGTCCAACTACCTCGACATATTAAGAAATGTTTGGTAATGGGACTGAAATGGTGAATGTATGCTGTTGCACAGCTGTAAAAAACAAATTATGTTATCTTGTTGATTTTGAAGTTCTAAGAGTTTGTTCTTCACTTTGGCTGAGATCATCAAACTTGATGATCTCAGCCAATCCAATGCTTTCCCATTGGAAAGCATTGTTAGGCTCTTGTGCATGTGTGGCAAAAAGCTTCACGGTCAATCAGCATCTCCATGGGGAGCGTTCAGCGCCCCCACGCAGACCCAATCTAATACACTGCCCACAAATCCAATACATTGCCCCCAAATCCAACACACTGCCCTTCCTCCCTCCACTCATCCACTCCACCATACACTGCCCCTTCACCCAATCTAATACATTTCCCCTCCTCCCTCCACTCTAATTGAATAGACTGCGCCCACTCCCACCACTCTACTTTAATACACTGCCCTCCCCCCAATTTAACACACTCACACCCTCCCTCCCTTAAATAAATATACTTAATAGTGCCCCCTCACTCCCTCCCTCAAATTAACAGAGTTCCTCCTCCCTCCCTCAAATTAATACGATGCCCAATTCCTCCCTCAAATTAAGAGTGCCTCCTCCCTCCCCCAAATTATTAGAGTGCCCCCTCCTTCCCTCAAATTAATACAGTGCCCCTCCCTCCCCCAAATTAATAGAGTGCCCCCTCCCTCCCTCAAATTAATACACTACCCCCACTCCCCCAAGCCCCTCTTCTCCTACCTTACAATTTGCTGTCCTTCCTCCAGCTCCAGCCCTGTTCAAGCAGGCCAGACGCTCCCCTGGCACTGCGGGCAGGAGGGAAAGGGGAGTGGTTGCTCTGGTCTGCTCTGCAGACAGACAGCCACACTGCCCTCTTGTGGCCGGGAGAGCAAGAATCAGGAAATATTTTTCCTGTCTTGCTGGTCGCAGCCACAGCTGGAAGTGGCCCCAGGGCAGGCAGGCAGGCCGCAAAAATATTCACTGTGGGCAGCGACATGCTTAATGTAGACTAACTCTCCCTTTAGGAGTCCAGCAATTACCATCTGCTGTTGGACAATTATTATCCTGTAACATCCTTTGTTTTTTTATTATGTATCCGTAACACTAAGAATAAACCTGAAGAAACCGTAAGTCAGATTGCGTATTAGTATTTTTGGTTAATATAGACTTATATTAACATGGCAAACCTTTTACCCAAGAAGAAATATACATAAAAGACTGATTTCAATCATCCTGGAAATAGACACAGAAGAAACAAATTTATTACAAAATCCCGCTCTTTTATTCCTCATCTATACCTTTTACGCCATTTTGTTTTTTTGGGGATTTCACTTTATCTTTATTTACTCTTGACTTGTTTCTGTCACAGTAAATGGAACTGCATATTAGAGACAAAGAGCAAGCATGTTATATTGAGCACTATGGCTACAGCATGTTGTAGTAACTTTTTAGCTATTGCACACGAACCTTAGAATGTACCCAACAATATGTCACATGCTATGTCTATGCATGTCAAATTTCTCTGTTCGAATCTGTGTTTATGTAATCTACTCATTGTATGTTTGTGCATATTGTCTCTCCATGTCCAGTTCGCTACTTAATGTGCCTTGAAATGCTGTAATCCTTATGTTTCATAACTTAATATATGAACTCAATAAAGATCTTATATTGAAGAAAATAAAACAGTATGTAATATGTGTTGGTGCAAGAAATTAGTAAGATGTAAATTGCAGTTGAACACACACATAGTAATAATGCAGATATTGCTTTGGTCCTTAAGTGAAAAACAAACAAATGAAGCCTGGTCATTAAAGGGATACTATAGACATCAAAATAACTTTAGCTGACGTAAGATGTTTTGGTGTATAGATCATGCCCCAGCAGGCTTACTGCTCATTATTTGCCATTTAGGACTTAAATTACTTTTGTTTTCCACAACGTTTAGTGGGCATGCACCACCTTCCTTCAAACCTTTGCTTAAAACAAGGTGGGGAAATTGGCTATTTCCTTCATTGTTGGTGGAAATTACCAAAAATAAAACCATAATGGTCTACAATAGCATCCGTACTTTCTTAAGTACTTGGTGAACCATATCTACTAGACCCATGGGCAAAGTTACTCTTTAAACCTATAAATTCATTCGCTAGAGAATAAGCTAGCAGTGAGGATGGTACTAGCCACACGCAATGCAATAGGAGAAGCCTGGGCTACCATAAAGATTCCTTCTTTAACCATAATAGAGAAATAGATCTGCGAGAGCATTGACATGAATAGATTTACATCACAAAGTCCTTCCACAAAATGTGGGATCCTTGGATGGACAGAGACACTTCTTTCCTCTGGTAAATAACAATCCCTAACTATTACATACCCATTTCTACTCTTTTTATGATTTTGAAAACAAGGACCCACTTTGGTATCACTTAAATCAATGCATCTCTATGAAGAACGTTCAGCATCTCCATATATCACTGACCCAAGAAGCACCTCTAGTGGCCATCTGAGTGACTGCCACTGGACTTGTCCCTAGCCAGTGATGTAAACAGCGCCTTTTCTCTAAAAGGGCAATGCTTACATGAAAATTCCTGTAGGGATATACTATTCTCACCAGAACAACTACATTAAGCTGTAGTTGTTCTGGTGACTAGAGTGTCCATTTAAGCTAAAGTTGTTTTGGTGCCTATAGTGTCCCTTTAATGGTATTTTGTGTAAAAAGTAATAATAGTAAGTTTATATGTTGCTTATTGTTCTCTTCTTTTTGTATGGGGTGGATCGTTCCTCCTTTAGGATTAGGACTACATTTTATTTAATTTTTTGCAGTTACTTCTTGCTTAGTCAACAAATTTGTTTTATTGTAATTTTATTTGAACACTACACCCTCACTGTTCATAATGTATATTCGCTGTTACATTCTTTTAATGAGTCATAAGAAATTACAAATATAAAAATAAAGAATTTTATTGGCATAGGAAAAATCATATGTATTTTATGTACATCATTACAATATTTTTAATAAGCACAAAAACAAACACACAATGAAAGCAAACGCACAATAAAATATATAGAAAATAAAACTATGGGCTTGTTTTCATTGTTGTCATAAAAATCTGCTTTAAACTGAAATGGCCTTTAGATATTAATGGCTACAAATTATGAACAAGTTTCCAACTTTAACCCCTGACTTAATCTCTGCTCACTAGTAATGTCTTCCAGAACTAATACTGGTCAACAAATAGTATGTGCTGCAGCACTAAAAGAGATCAAAAAAGCACAAATTAATTTAAAAAAAAAAAAGTATATTACGGTACTGTTTGGCCCTTACCCTATTACACATTATGTGCAGTGGGGAGAAGGGAAATAAACATTAGGTGCTGCATATACTATTTGAGCCTATATATATATTACAGTCATATAGGGGTAAACTGTAAGGGTAACCCCAAATATAGATATAATATGTCTCCTGATCCTTTTATATGAACCAGTATTTGAGCCCAGGAGATGAAAAGTTTCCTGTAACCTTAAAACGCCCCTTTGATCTAAGCTCCAAAATGCCTCAGTGGCTAGGGCTTTCCAAGTCCATATATGTCTGTTTTTGGTTAAAGATTGATGAAACGAGATCTGCAATCAAGACTTAGTGTGAGGGGGTGGTAGGAACATTCTTTGGGCGTGGTTTGGTGCTCAACCTCTAGCTAGGGACATTTTTTGGCCAGGAGGCTGTGCCTGAAAATAAGGCCCTTTATGAGCCCTGGTCCCTGATCAACACATCCAGATTATTGGCCCAAGAGAATGATGTAAGGCATGGTGTAAGGGGCCAATCATAGGGCCCATACCTGATAAAATTGGTGACCTGGGACCCCACATTTATAATGTGATTTATTTTTAAAATATGTATGAAAACGGAGGGCTAATGGCCTCTGTGTCTTTGAGCCAATCTGTTCTCTCTGTTGGATGTATTGGAGAGATAATTTGATATTGCAGATTTCCATCAAGAAGAGGCAGGTATTAAACTTTAAGGTATAAATTTAGAAACTAGTTATACGGTACGAGAGCAGGTAAGAGTAACATCAGGTGATAATAACCAGTCAATAGTGGTGAGATTTTCCAGTTGGGAAACAGCTGCAAGTAATGACTGTTCAGTTAGGCGTAATGACAACACTGGAAACAATGTGTCTTCATACTTATTTAGATGAATATAAATGTATATAGACATCTACAAATTAAATTAGAGTATAGCCTATATTTACATGAAGTGGTCTGGGTGCCAGGTCCATCTAGGTTTAACCCTTTCTGCTGTAAATATAGCAGTTTCAGAGAAACTGCTATGTTTACTTTAGGGTTAATCCAGCCTCTAGTGGCTGTCTCATTGACAGCCGCTCGAGGCTCTTCCGCGCTTCTCACAGTGATTTTCACAGTGAGAAGACGCCAGCGTCCATAGGAAAGCACTGAGAATGCTTTCCTATGAGACTGGCTGAATGCGCGCGTGGCTCTTGCCGCGCATGCGCATTCAGCCTATGACGGGAAAGGAGGCGGAGAGTCTCCACCGCCGAGGGAGCCCGGCGGTGGAGAAAAGGTGAGTGTTTAACCCCTTTCTCACCCTAGAGCCCGGCGGGAGGGGGACCCTAAGGTTGGGGGGGGGGGGACCTAGAGACCCTATAGTGCCAGGAAACCGAGTATGTTTTCCTGGCACTATAGTGGTCCTTTGAGGGTGAACTGTCCCCAGGATATTTACTTATGTCTAAATTTAACAAATATGAAGTGTGAAAAATAAAATAAAATTTATAAATTCACACCTCTTTATCCTTCATGTCAATCATTGTTAAATAATCTGCCTCCTGCACCTGACAGACAGCAATCAGCATAGAGGAAGGAGAAATAAAACAATGTTTCTATTTCTCTTCTTCATTTTCACTGTTTTCCCTGTCTTTCACTTGTCTGAACTGGATTGTAATGTCATTTGTTAATTTGCTTGCTGTTGCAGTTTCACATAGAGCACACAGAGCAATTGCAGCAGCAGGCAAGTTAGGTTGAGCAACAGTTGTTCAGATAACAGTAGGGTCTGACCCCACTCAGCCAGAAAAAAAGTGAAATTATCTAGAAAAAAATATATAAATCAATATAAATCCTTTAAAAATGTATATCATTATGTTTCACTAAATATAAATAACTTTTTTTTTTAAAGGAAAAGTGAAATTTGATGAGAAGTGTCCTTTAAATGAAACAAGTGAAAGAAAAAGAGAAAGAAAGAAAAATTAAAAAAAAGGTTAACACAAGTTATAGGGGATTTTCAATGTTTTATTCATTGGAGTTCATTCTATAGTGGTGGCAGTTCCCATTTAAGTCCACCGAGGACAAGGTAACTGTAAATGAAGGTTCCATATATTTAGAGATAGAGTTTTTCCAGACTGTTATTACAGGAAGAGATATCTTATCCATGGCATTGGCTGGAATATTGTTGTCATAAACATTTCTGACATACAATTAACCAGTTGAAGAGTAGCCTCTAGTAATCTATAATCCATTAGTCAGTGCCACGATTGCAAAATAGGGAATAGAGAAAAAAATGTTGTACACTACCATAAAATGACAAAGTATAAATAATAATAATTTCTTCTTAATTTGGTAACTCTAGTAGTTTTGACACACATTCGTTTTCAGCCTTTGATGTAGAAGTAAGAAAAATGTTATAGTCAGCAGCCACATGACTTTTGTAGAAGGCATCAAACTAAAAGCATATATATATATATATATATATTAAGAGTGAATAGTGCAGAGGTCCTTTTAACGATAATCTGATGTTTGGCAAGATGTTCGATCACAGAGATTGGTATTAGTAAGCATCTACAACTGCCCAAATAAAGAAACATGCACAAGAGAACTTTCATGTGTAATTGCTATATTTATTAATAAATAGATATTTTGTTTCTATTGATCTGTGGATCTTGGGTTTATGATAATACTATTAGGATAAGATGTGAAAATATGCAAAGTATTAGGCAAATAAGTTCTTGCAGAGCCCAAAGTTGTTTCTTTTTTCTTCAGAATGAGAAAAGAAATTTCTTAAACCATGCAAGGGATGTAGATTTAGTAAATCACTGTGTGCTTTCCTGATTTTTCATGGTTCTTCAGAGCCAGGGCCTTAATCTTTAGAGTTCAGTTCACGTCCTATGAATAAGACATGGATGTGAGTGTTCATTTTGACCTTGAGAATGCGGGCACAAAACATCACACATGTACATGTTTGTCTATTCACATACCTCTTTTTTTTCTGTTCGTCTGTTCTTGGGAATGTCTTCTTCCTGCACCACTTCTGCTACTCTCTATGGTGAAATAAAATAAGGCTATGTCAGCTGATATTATATTCACATATAACCGCATAGAGGGGTATACAGAGAATAAGTTGGTTAAAAGTGGAATAACTGACATTAATTAACGTATCTAGTCTATAAAAGGAGCATTGGAAATTACAGGAGAAGACAGACACAAGCTGGAAAATATTATATAGACTACAATGCAAAGTTAGACAAGACTAATACAATTAAGACATTGTATAAGGTTTAACTAATACCATACCTGGTCAACAGGCACTTCCACCCGTGTGTGCTTATCCTCCTTTACTTCCTTGGCTCCTTCCAGCTCACGACGCGTTTTTGTCACTTTAAAAACTCCTTCCCCTTCTGGAAGGAATTGGCACCAGTGTAAACTTTATTACATTAAATAGATTAAACTAGTTACTATGGACCAACTGCAACTTCCATACTACCTATGACTAGCACAGTACTATCATAAAACAAAAGTCAAGTAGAGGTCTCACCATTTGTCTCCTGGTCAGTTTTTTTCTTCTGAGTGGGACGCGCTCTTACTGGTTTAGCATAAAAGATTGATTCTTCCTCTTTAGCATCTACACCAGTGGACCAGACCCTGCGGCCATGCCCCTTAATCAAAATGTGATAAATATATATTACATTAACCTGAATGGACCAAATCTATTTTAAAGCAAAATCAGTAAAATAACATGGTATGTTTCACAGCAAAAAAATACTATTTTAAGGAAGAAGGAAATGGGCAGAGGTATGGTACAATAATTAATAAAGGGATTTGTTACAAAGAAAGACTAAAAACCCTTCTCATAAGGCATAGAAAAACAACCTGCAAATATGTACAGGGCAGTACAAACAGTTCTCTGGTGGCATGTTCATTAATAAGACTGTACAAAGACAATAAGTCATCCATTTGGACATCAAGAAAAGCTGTTCCACCTATGTTAGAGGAAAGGGTTCTAAAATGTCACTTTCCTCTAATGCAGTAAATGGACTTAATTGGTCAGTGCACAAGTGCATTTATGGGCAAGACAAAGCTGGCAACACAACCAATTTTCAAGGTATTTATAAAACAATTTAAATTCATTTTCGTACCTGCGTCTATGTGTGTGTGATTGGGAATGGTGTACGCAAACACAACTAGAAGACATTATTCCTATATTCTCAGTAGTACACAATACCACATAATCTTGCTTTTTATGTGCCAGAGTTGTACCCTAATTTTCAAATAAAGGTCACATTATTTTAATGAAAATAACTTGGTAGTGAAGAAGTTAAAATGCATTGCTGACTGATGCTCTATTTACCTGTTCTGGAGGACCAATGAGAGCAGAGTCACTGGCTCCTTCCTGGGATACACTGTAAACTTTTCCAACCTTGTAAGTGAGAAAAAGAATAGTTTATCAAACAACAAATACAACTAACTGAAATACAGGTAAAGCAATCGGCAAACAATATAACTTTGATAATTATTTATAAGTGGCTACTGTACTATTATTACTTATTACTGGCAATTAAGGTTATTCTTAATAAAAATGTGTTTTGTTTCTAAAAGTGGAATAATTTGGCGACCCATTCTAAAAATGTAATATAATGAACATTAAAATCAAATTTGCAAGACAGTTTTATTAGACTCTTCCCATTATAAATAGCAAATCAGTCTCTACAGCAAACAATGTATCATGAGCAGTTGTCTGGAGCTCTTTGAATCTGATGTACCTGGTTTAAACAATGGGGGACATCTAAAAAGGGGCTCATTTCTGGCAAAATAAATAAATAAAGCCGCAGAATGTTTCAACAGTGTATAAACACTGCTCAGAAAATAAAAAGGTTGATGTAAACAGTACTTAAGATATATTACCTACCCCTGCTTTAGGTATTCTTCTCTTGACATTTTTGCGAGTCCTGTAAACAATACAGAAAGTAGACACATTGGCTGGAAAGATAATACAGAAAAGGAAACGAGAGATTGCTATTGGTAGTAAGCAGGTTACTATATTGGCCCGCCTGCTTTATTACGAGAGTGCGTGCATTGATGTGTAGTGGTATACTGAAACCCGCTGCATGTTTGTAGGCAGTCCACTGAAGGAGAAGAAAGACAAAGTCTGTGATAGACTCTCAGTTCACCTGCTTCCCCATCACTTGCAGGGTTACTGTAATCTCCGTACTCCCCAGAGCGGAGTCTGTGGACAGAGCTAAACTGCAGGGAATTTAATCATTATGTGTATATTACTAATCCATGCATGTGTGTGACTGTGTATGTAAGTGTATGGGATTGTGTGTATGCATGTATGGCTGTGCATGTGTGTGACTGTATGTCTATGTATGTGAATGCATATAGAAAGGGAAAGAAAATTGAGAAGTTGCAACAATAGCCAGCTGAGGTACTATACTTGTCTCCATGAAGCGTCAGGAGTTCCTCATATGGTAGACATTTGTATTTCTCTGATCCAACTGCAACGTAATATTCCCCAGAGACTAGCTCACTCCCACTAGAGAGTGATACTCCATCTAGAGTGCAGAGCCTACAGGGACAGACAATTATTGAAAGGTACATTTTATTGAGAAATCACATGAAAATTGAGAAAAAGTGTAGGTGTTTGCACCGACCTTCTTACAGCTCCACTGTATAGGTTGGCCTTTTCTGTGAGTAATGTCAAGACCAGTTCCCACTCCCTCAGAATACTTGTGGCAATGATCAGACGAAATGGAGGTGTCCTTAGGTCCCCATTACGGAAAACACTAGGAGAAAAGGTGAGGAATGGGGCAAATTGGCAACAGGGTAAAAAAAAAGGTGGAGAAGTTAAAAATACACCTTACTGAAAACCACCTTACTGATTCACATTGTGAGATCTCCTATTAGTTTGGACACTGTAGCCACACAATAGCTACTGCAGCAATGTAACAGCAATCTGTGATTGGTTTCACAGTGAAATGTGTTGTGAACAGTGTGGCCAATGACTCCTCTGAATGTTAATGAATAGAGAACAACGAACAGCACTCTATGAGAAGCCTCACGTCTGCTTGGATTGACAGCCCTGAGGGTACAACCTAGGAGCTTTCTAAAAGTCTTATAAAGTGAGAAAAAGGTTGTGCTCTGTTAGCTCTTAAAGCACTTCAGCAAGTTCAGATCTGACTAATACAACATATAAAGCAGGGTATAGATGCCAACAAGTAACCTGTAATAGACTGCATTTTTCCTCCTTACTAGGCTAGTCACCCTTTTCTATGTTCCAGTATCTTATCTGAGTTGACATTTTGCTATAAATAAGAATGAAATTAATTTTAAAAGAGTTCCTAACCTGGTGTTGATCGATAATGTTTGAGACCAATACAGTAAGTTAACTTTCTGTACTGCAACCCTTTTGTTGGGCATCATGACTTAGCCAGTTAGTACATTAACATCACTTCCCATGATGTCACCATATATGCAAATGAGTGCACACTATGAAACAGTTTCCTAAGCTGGCAGGTCTAACTCTATGCCAAACTAAGTCATAGGCAAAAATGTGTCTCTCTTCAATTCCAGACCCATAGTTTAGGGGCTTAAGTGTCTATCAACCCTTTAAGAACAGAGGCAATTGGTCTGACCAAAACAAAACCTGGAATTTGAGCTATATGTCTGTTCAATCATAAATTACCTATTTTATATTAAGTGTACCCAAATTTTTTATATATAATTTTGTTCACGAGAAACACGGCTTTCATTTCACATCAAATAGTTATATATGAAACAATTAAATATGGATGAAATAAATAAAAAAAAGTGTGAGAAATTAAGAAATGTTATTTTCCAAGTTCTGCATGGCATTTTAACTCTTTACCCCTTAAGGACCAAACTTCTGGAATAAAAGGGAATCACATGTCTCACATGTCATGTGTCCTTAAGGGGTTAATGTTATTATAATTGAATGCTGTGATGTCCCACGAGTACAATGATGCCCAGGACTGCAAGCAGGCAAGGCGTGCATCGCATGAGCTCCTGCTGCCAACGCTGATTAACCGGTAATATCCCGGGCCGGCAACTCGGAGACCTCTACTCAAGGTGACTCCCACGCTTAGGGCACCTTATTCTACTTGTGGATACCTTAATTGACACTCTGAGGCACCGAGAACCGCAGCGGCAGGTTAAGGCCGACAGGAGTCAGAACGGGGAGTGTAGCGGAACCCCTTTTTGGCTGTCCTATACTTTGCCCAGGCGGTCGGTCAAAACTTTACCTCCCCATAACTCCCGAACCCCTGGTCTGATCTGGGTGATTTTTGGATATGCTTCTCACCCAGATTAGGGCTACCAGGGGGTACCATACTTAAGGGCATATTCCATCTATTTAGGGTACATTTGAAAAGTGGGGAAAAATGTGTTGTATATAAGTGGATTAAAGGCTAAACTAAGGGGAGGAGATGTGTGAGAGGTAACGTCGCTGTTATTGGGTAAAATGCTAATTGTGGTGAATCCCTCCCTTGCATGGGAGAATCTCATAAAAGCAGGAATGTTGCCATTAAAAGTTAGTTCTACTCCTGATACTGTGTGTCGTCCAGTGATTGGGGAAAGTGATGGGATATTACTGGATTGTATTGCTGATTGTGCTGAAGATTATATTGGATTTATTACTTGTTCCTGCATCCTGTTAAAGTACTTGATGGAGTTAAGCTGTGGGAAATCAGCTCTCCGCTACAGGGAGAGACGGCCACTCTCCCCCCGCTGAACTAAGCTACTTTAAACGAGTCTCTAACCCCACCCCTCCGTACCGGCGGGGGATATCCCGGTCCCCGCCCGCCCCGGAAAGCAGTCAGCTACACCAGCGTTACCTTTCTAGTCCGCTGAGCAGATCACGCAGTGCATCCAGAGATCCCAAGATGGCAGACGCAGCAAAAAAAAACAAAACGAAGCTCCCGCAACCTCACTACTGCTCACCCAGGTATCGTCCACCCGGGCAGAGAACAGGAAATCAGCAGAGAAGATGCCTCACCACCTTTGACCCCCTGTGATGGGGATAGACTTGGTCCCGCGACGAACCCAAGTCTGTGGTTTACAGATGCCGGCCCGCCTGCAGGCCTGGGGCCAAGGAGGCACCATGTTCCAGGGTACCACCGGCCTAAGCGACGCAGCAACCCTGCCACCTAGAGGAATCGGCTAAGCTAGCTTCTGGGACTGATACCTGGACATATTTTCTCCTTAACAACCAGATAAGCTATTTTTGCGTTTTACATGCCATGCACCAAGCCTTGCGTATTATGCTTTTTGTTATGATTTGCTTTAATTTCTATTACCTCTTCATAAACTGCCAAATATCACTGCAGTACAGCTTACTACTGACACTGCACCCAGGGGTGCATTAACAGCGATCTTAATAGCATGTTTACCTAACGTAACACTTTGTTTTACCATCATGTCTGACTAGATACATAGGTTATCAAAATATAATAAGCATATCTAGCTTAATTCACTGTACTATCTAATATTATGACCTTCCTTCGTTTACTCTCGTAGTTAGACATGATTGATTGATGTTTTTCTTGTTTCTATTCTATTATAAAATAGTGCAAGTCCTTTCTAAATACCCCAATTGTAACATGTGATGCTATGTTTGAGGAATGCCGTTGGGGTACCTCTAGCTTGTCTGTACTCAGCTTAGGCACTGCAAAAATACAAAATTAAAACAAACAAACAACTGAAAGTCCATTCATGTGTCTCATTCCCGTAGTGTCCCCATGTATCTCATTCCACCAAGCACCTCCATTCATGCGTCTCATTCCTCAGATGTATCCATTTGTGTAATTTTCCCCCAGCACCTCCATTCATGTGTCTTATTCCCCCAATGTCCCCATGTGTCTCATTCCCACTAAGCACCTCCATTCATGCATCTCATTCCTCCCGTGTCCTCATGTGTCTCATTCCTTCAGCCTCCCCATGTGCCAGCTTACTTCCTCCTTATAGTGTGGCTGAGCTACAGACCAGGGTAGAGGAGCTTGTTTCCATCCACCCGGTCTGACAAGAAGCAATTTGGCTCAGTCCGTACACATTTCTAGTCAGACCCGGTAGAGAGAAACAAGCTCCTCTACCCCTGTCCACGGCACGCCACTCTACATACAGAGACCGTTTCATGTGTCTCACCTCCCACCCCTTCCCCCAGCACCTGGATTCATGTTTCTCATTCCCCCAGTTTCCCCATGTTTTGCATTCTCCCAGCCCATGTGTATTTTCACCTCACAGGACCTCCACTCATATGTCTCATTCCCACCATGCCTCCATGTCTCTCACCCCTCCCCAGAACCTCCATTCATGTGTCTCATTCCTCCCAGCACCTCCATTCATGTGTCTCATTCTTTCATCCCCCCATGTTTCTCATTCCCCCCGTGTAACCATGTCATATCAAATGTACCCCATATCATTCCTCCAGTATCATTCCTCCAGTGTCCCCAATGTGCCAGCTTACCTCCTCCTTATAGTGTGGCCGGGGTAGAGGAGATTGTTTCCCTCCACCCAGTCGGCCAGGAAGCAGTTCGGCTCTTTCAGTGCGTGCACTTCCTTTTAGATCTGGTAGAAGGACCTGGTAGAGGAAACAAACTCCGCTACCCTGGTCCGCGACTCAGCCACTCTACATACAGGGGATCAAAATATATATATGTGTGGGTGCACTTAAAGAGAAACCAATACATTATGATGGTATAGACACAAAGTGGAAATTCAAGGTTTTGTTTTGGCTCAGACGTTGGACAACATCCATCCTTTTTGGTTTAAGGAGTTTATTGATTTATTCGACAGAAATGGCATAGCTGCGTTAACAATACTCACTGGATGATACAAGGCAAGTGGTTGTCCTCCCTCCAGCGAGAAGGAATCTCTGCTTGACGAGGAACCTGGGAAACCATAGGTGGTTTATGAATTTGTCATAGTGACTTTTTTATTGTGCAGTTCCTTTTAGTCATACTTTGTATTTCCACCACCCGATATTTACATTTATGCAAACTGTCTGCCATTGGGAAAAATAAAGATTAATAAACTAATGATGTGCAGACTCATATTCATAGAGAAAAGACAAGAGAAAAGCATTGATTTTAGCAAAACTAGTATATGAAAATCATTAAAAAAAAATATCATCCCATAAACACTATTCTACAAAGAGACCTTGTATAATCTATATGCATAATTGGTTACAATTCATTGGATATGCTGAGATGCATTCAGAAAAATACTTGAGATTGACTTTGAAAACAAGTTTTGGTCATATACCAGATCAATAATAAAAATATGCGGTCTTTTCCACTATACATCTTTGTCGTTGTTTCAGAACAAGGCAACAAACACTATAAAAGAAGGTGAAAACCTCCAACTTTGCACAGTATCTTGACTGTAAATGCAGCTAAAGCTGACATCAAAAGAGCACATACTTTATTTCATTGTCTGTCTAGTATGAAGACTAACAAACATGGAACCCTGTAGTTAGAAGAATGAGAATCACTGTTAGACTTATATAGTTTTCTGAGACTATTTTGAAGAAATACAGTCTTCAAAACAACATATCAGTGGGTTACCTCTGCCAGATACTGTGCAGACATCAGCAGGCTGTAAAACTAAAGAGAATGCATTTATGTGTCTAGAAAAACAGGTGAGAAGCAAGATGTGGAAGCAACAGAACTGAACTCACCTGCTGAGTGTCTCTGCTTTTGGGGACAGCGGGAGGCTTAACCTCAGTGTGAAGATAGCTGTGAGAAAACAGTGATTTAATGAGATTCTGTGCACATCGTACAGTGGCAGAACCAGAAGGGGTCTAGAATGCAGATATTAATAATGGGTTTATTTTCATATGTATACAGACAACACAGCATGGGGTCTGACTTGGGAATACTTTAATAATAGATTGACTGAAAAGAAATCTCTAAGTGTGTGATTGTTGTAAAGGACAAATTGTAATACAAGGAATATGTATTTTTCAGTATTAGTCATTGCTCTGGAATATAGAGATTCCTAAATAATAAAGCTGGACCAATCAACACTCCAGATATCACAACCCAGTATACGGGGGCTATTTTCACAGCTACCCATTTACATTGTCATTTCTAATGTTAGTTATATTAAAGGAACACTATAGTCACCTAAACAACTTTAGCTTAACCCCATAAGGACTGAGCCAAATGTACACGTTGAATATAAACAAAGAACTAGTGACCTCTAGGGGAACTAGTGATAGTGTGTCAGGGACGACCTAGTAGGGGGTAACCCGTTTGGATAATTGTACATATTTATTGTATATACTTTCTTTATTTCATTTTCCTATTTTTCACCTCATTGAAATTCAGCTTGTTACTCAAGAGGCTGATTGAATGTTCCACTGTTTGAATTCTACACCGTGGATTCTTTACAGGACCAGGGACAGGAAGGTGGTTGCCAGTTTTAGAATTATCTATGTTACTTTCACGATACCTTATGAGCCCCACTCATCAGGGCTCAATGATATTGTTGGTTAATGTAAACATTATGGGGGTTTCCTCTGACCAGTCCAGAGAGTTTAACAGATATAGGCCCCCCCACTGATGATCCCTGAGCTACAGGGGACACTACAACCTTTGTGAATCTTACAGGGATACGCCCCGATACTCAACATCAAGCTGATCGTAGCCAGGTACACCACCTTCAATGACCCGTTCTCACAGTGTGCAAGGTAATAAATGCATCCCCTGCTTCTGATCCACATTAAATGGATGTGAGACTTAAGCAGGGGAAGCCCAGTGCACGCATGTAGAGAGACAGGTTTCCGTTAGTATATTTGAGGCATCACGTTGCCATTCAAGAATCCCAGGATACTAAGGGTTAACCACTAGAGATGTCGCGAACCGTCCGCGAACTTCTCGCGAACGGTTCGCCACGGCCCGTTCGCGGCGAACTCCGGTCAGCTGACACATCCCGGCCAATCTCCAGCAGACCCTCCCTCCCAGGCCCTCTCACCTCCTGGACAACATCCATGTTGAAGCTGCCTTCAACATGGAAGCTGTCCAGGAAGTAGGAGGTTCTGGGAGGGAGGGTCTGCTGGAGATTGGCCGGGATGTGTCAGCTGACTGGAGTTCGCCGCGAACGGTTCGTGGCGAACCGTTCGCGAGAAGTTCGCGACATCTCTAGTAACCACCCTCTAGGTTCTTATTTACATTTTTTGTGTATAGCCAATGACTAGATTATACGTATGTAGGGGGCGTGACACAACCCCTCCGTTCGAATTTGGCGGGAGTGATGAGTACACCCCCGTTGTTTTCCATTGGCCGGTGGAACATTTAAATTTGTGCCCTTTAGGGCACACTCAACCATTATTGCCTCTGACGAAGGCGCTGTAGAAAGTGCCAAAACGCGAGTCAGGCTTCAGGCTTATATGTAGATAGGCTTTTAATTTAATTTATTTTATTATTTGGTTGTTCTGTAGCTAGAAAGTCCTACCGGATTATGATAGTATTTGGGTTGCATGGTGGGGGGCAGTTATAAGGGTTCGTTCCCCGAGATAGTCCCGTTCAATTTACTTAGTTCTCCCCGTTCGTTACCCTGATGCACTAGCAAGTTTTCATACCCTGGGGGCTGTCTTCTAATATCTACTTTATACAACTCTATTGATCCTCCGTGATAGTTTGCCCATAATTCACAGACAGCGGTGCCTTATCTTTAATCTGAGCAGTATTCTAGACGTGGGATGTTTTCTACGCAGTATTCATCCAAGTAGCCAGGGTGTTACTTTTGTTTTACAGCCTAGCAATAGCGAGCACGCCTTGGAGTGGACAGCTTGCATTACCAGGCTATTGAGCTATTAGACATAATGCAACATCATTTCCATTTGGCATGAACCTATTATTCACTGGCTACTTTGTCAATGCTGCATCAAGTAGATACATAGTCACCTTTCAGCTTCTCCTGAATGGTACACTGTATTTATATACAATAGCCAAGGTTATTATTATATAGTCATTTCTTTCTGTGATCGGTGGGTGCTTATAGGTTCCAACAGTTCACTTTCTGGATCTATCAAGTGTTAAGTTCTTGAGCTAAGAAAACTATAATTTAGTGCTCAGATTCTGTTATCACTCTTTTCTGATTTTATTAAGAGTCAGCCTTTTTTGAGCTACATTAATTATAACACATTTTAGCTCTCCTATCTTGAGCTACAGACACTGGCATAGGAGATGCCCTCATAACATTTGGCAAGTTGAAATAAGCCAGTTGGTCTTATGTGCCTTGCCAGCCTATCTTCACTTTTCATTTAGTTTATATACTATTTTTTATTTTTCCTTTGGTTGTATATTTGTCTTTCACAAGTTTCACAAGCTGTTTTTTAACTTATAGATTAATAAAGGTTATATTTAAAGGTTATATTTTAACATATTATTACAAGGTCTCTAGGGACGTCCTATACCCGGACCCTCAGGGCTTGCTGCTCCCTTCTTTGTTTAAGTGTACACGTTGTACACGTTGTGATCAAAACAAAACCTGACATTTGCGCTATATGTCTGTCCAATGCAAAAAACTAATTTGAACGCCAATTTTGGCCAGTGTTTGTAACTAAGTAGCTACTAAAAAAGACTGGACATACACCATTTGCAATACCTTGGGTTGTATACTATTGCAAATGGTATGCCATCACGGGGGTAATTTTCATTCCTGAGCTACCATACGGTCTCAAAGGCAACCTAACCAATCTGGCAAATTTCAATATGAAAAAAATGAAACGCAAGCCTTATATTTGACTCTGTAACTTTTGAAAACACAATAAAACCTGTACATGACAGCTACTGTTATACTCGGGAGACTTTGCTGAACACAAATATTTGTGTTTCAAAACAGTAGCAAGTATTACAGCAATAATATTGTCAGTGTAAGTGCTGTTTGTGTGTGAAAAATGCAAAAAAAGTAACTTTCACTGACGAGATCATCGTTGTAATACATTTTACTGTTTTGAAACACATATTTGTGTTCAGCGAAGTCTCCCGAGTAGAACAGTACCCCCCATGTACAGGTTTTATGCTGTCTTGGAAAGTTATAGGGTTAAATATAGTGCTAGCAAATTAAATTCCCTATACTTTCAGTCTGGGTTGTCAGGCAGGTCCCGCAAATTGTAATTAATAAATTGACCTAATTATGTAAAATTATTATATATATATATATATATATATATATATATATATATATATACACACACACACACATTTGTGTATGTATATATATATATATATATACACACACATATATATATGTATTTAATTTTTTTATATATAGGTATACATATGGTGATATATACGTATATAGATATATATATTATTTCATTCTACGTGTATTTTGATATCAATATATATTAATATCAAAATACAGTTAGAATGAAATTACACACGTATTTTTTTTTACAATTTTTTAACGTATTTACTTTTTTTTCCTATTATATATATTATATATATTTAATCAATATCATTCTACGTGTATTTTGACATTAATATATATATATTTATATATATATATATATATATATATGTATACACTTAGTGTATTTGTGTGTATGTGTAAAGGTGTATATCATATATAAATGATCTAAGTATATTTTATTTTTAATTGTTATTAACCTTAAGGGGTTAAGAGGGCAGGAGAAGGGCAGAGACAGTGTCAGCCAGTGATTTCAGATCATTGGCTGACACATAGTAACAGTGATCACAGTGACTGGCTGTCACTGTGATCACAGGGGGAGTGCCAGGCATGCCCCCCATCGCGATCTGCACGGGGATCATGCCTGCAGTTACATGTGTCAGCCAATATGCTGACACATAGTAACACTGATCGAGGTGACAGGCTGTCTCAGACTATGCAGATGGCAGTCACTGACCATAGGGGGACTGCCTGGGGGTCAGGCATGTCCCCCGACCGCGATCTGCAGCGGGAGAATGCCGCGGCCACGTGTGTCAGCTGATTTTAGAATCGGCTGACAAATAGTAAATACTGATCGCAGTGACAGCCTGTCACTGCGATCAGAGGCTGCAGTCCGCGGTCACTGGGCACAGGGGGGCTTGCCTCGGTGTCCAGGCATGCTCCCCGTCCGCGGGCTCATGGCGCCGGCCATGTGGGCAGCAAGAACGGCTAGGACGTTCTATTCCGCCCACCAGCGTTTAGAGACAGCCCCTTAAGGACGGCATAGAACGTCCGTCATCCTTAAGGGGTTAATGAAGCAGTTTTTGTGAGCAGATCATGCTTCTCGGGTTTCACTCCTCAATTCACTGCCAATTAGGAGTTAAATCACTTTGTTTCTTATTATGGAGTCCTTGTCACACCTCCCCTGACTCTGATTGACACAGCCTGCATGAAAAAAATAAACTGTTTTTACTTTCAATCAGATGTAATTTATCTTAAACAATTGTATCTCTTTCTCTGTAAATTGAACTTTAATCACAGACAGGAGGATTCTCTTGCAGGATCTAGCAAGCTATTAACATAGCAGGGGATAAGAAAATCTAAATTAAACAGAACTTGCAATAAAAGAAGGATAGACTTTAGATGACTTTACAGGAAGTGTTTAGGAAGGCTGTGCAAGTCACATGCAGAGACGTGTGACCAGTGTTCATAAACAAAGTGATTTAACTCCTAAATGGCAGATAATTGAGCAGTGAGACTGCAGGGGCATTATCTATACACAAAAACTGCTTCATTAAGCTAAAGTTGTTTTGGTGACTGTAGTGTCCCTTTAAACAACTATAAATTGTAAAATTACATTGGTACAGAGCCATCTTGATAGGTGGTTACTTTTTAAACTAGTTTTGGTGTCAATTCAAGTATTCTTGTATTTTAAACATTTTCGTTTCTATAAGTAGATGTTGAGCATACAATACGCCTAATCTGACAAAGATGAATTGGGTAACTGAAATATTTTGAGTATAAGAAAGTACTGTGAAAACTCCCGGACTGTCAAGAATTCAAAGTGAAGTTCAGATTTTAGACCAAAGCCGCTGACCTGGAAGTATAGCAGGCTTAGACAAATTCTCCAATTCAGCTATTTTGGCCTTAAATTTGAAATTCACTTTAAATTCCCAACAGATATCGGTTTAGTAAATAGCCCTGCTATTCTAATCCTGATGGTTTTTATAAAACTCCACAATTATATTACCCCTACATACAACAAGGTAAAGGAAAAATCAGGGGTATCTGCAGTAGCACACATATATTCATGTACCCAAACACTGACCACAGTATTCACCTGGTTAGGTCCCCAAACTTTTTATTTTTTTACATTACCCTCCTCCCACACCCACACATTTATCCTCCAAGTTAATTGGATGTCTTGTGTTGCTATTCAACTACCATGATATGTTTTTAATATAATGTTCAATACATCAGATGTGCTCACCTTGAAATAATAACTTAAACTAACCCAGTCTTTTTTTTTCTCATTTGGATAGATGCTTGTGGATAGCCGACATGCTACACTCGTACCATTTCAAAAATATCCAATGATAACTGGATTGTCAGGATGGGCCAGTTCCACATGTGTAACTTTCCAAACAGCTCACAATTGATCATTGTAGATAAATTCTAAGTCACACAACATCATTTTTTACTGAATCTTTTCAAAATTACTTTATCTTGATAAGTAGCTTAAAAGCCAGACCTCAGTGAATTTAGTCAGAGTTTTTACAATTATACATGTGTGTAAATAAAAGATAAATACATGCACATAAGTCATGTATATGTAAGCACACACGCAGTGAGAGTTAGACAGGAGAGCTGAAGGGAGCTGCTGGGAAGGTAAGTAAGAGTTTGCTGTGTGCCCTCCACTGCATAGTCCTTGCCACCGGACCATCAGGGAATGCTATATATATATATATATATATATACACACACACACAAAACATACATTAAGACTTCGTCCATAAATGTACTCACTCAAGCTTTCTGAACTTCTCTGTCCCGCCAGCCACATACTGTCCTTTGTTAAGCAGGTCATTGATGCTGCCGACACGGTGCCCATTGAGAGGGGTGTAAATGTTGCGCACTGCTGCTGGAGCCTGGATAGAGCTGGTAACATCATTCAGGAAAGCATCAAATGTCACATACTGCTTTTCATTCACCACCATCCGGCGTCCCTTGTGAAAAGGATCCCCATTCCGGAACACCATAACATTCTTGGCATGGGGCAGTACCTGCACCCCCGAAGGGGAACTCATCATCCAGGTAAGGAATCACCCTCTTTGTGAAATGAAGGCTCTGTCCAGCACACTCTATAGCTAGTTTCTAAAACTACTAAATGCACCGCTTCCAGTTATATATATGAATTTTAAATACACGTGTGTGGATATATTATACATAAGCACACACAAGGCACCTGTTACCCAGTAATTGTGCCACAACCTGTATAAACACACAACTCTGTCCTGCCTATCATTTGGTTGCTGTGACTCTTTTTGTTGCCAGGTGACAATCACCAGTAGTCACAGTGTACAGGGAGGCGGTGCTGGTGCTCAGTTACAGGATTAGACACGTCTTTTGTTTAGCAGCCTGTACTGCTTGACAAAAGCACACTTGCATGTTATGACAGACACCTTTGTATCCACAAACTTTTAATTTTTTTATTTTTATTTCTGTTGCAGATGTTCTTCAACTGGTCTAGTTTCTGCATTTTATTACTTAGTGTAAATCAAAAATGAGCAAATAATTAAAAACACTAACTGCAATAATTATGTCCTGGTTTTAGTCCAGACAATATTTATTCAGCCCTTTTAAAGAGATATTCGACATATACATTGACAGATCATGAGAAGTCTGTAGTAACAACTGGGTATCTCTACAATATTCACATATTTTAGTAAAAAATAACAGATGCTCTTTCCCACATGCTCAGTGTTGGATGGAAACGGAATATGGTATGTACTGCAGCACTCCTTGTGAATTTCTTCTTCTCTTTCAATGAAAAGACATTTCAGATTCAATGAGGCATCCCCAGTTTATGTCTGACCATAAGATACTAGAAAGAAAGGAACAGAGAATAGAATTGATACATATCAATTATACGCATTAAGTGTAATAGGACTACACAATGAGGACAGCACATTTAGAAGCAGGGCTAGACTGGAACAAAAATTCAGGCTGGGAATTTAAATGCAGAGCAGCCTAATATTAGAGGGGTGTGTCAACACCAATGACATCCACACACTTCCCAAAGTGGGCATGTCAGTTTGATTCTTCTCCAGGGCAGCCAGCTCATGGTTTGTGGCCATGCAGCCCATATTAAGCAAACTGCAATGAAATGTGTGTTCTGACACATTTCTATCATGTAAATAACAAAAAATACTTGTGTCTGCACTTAGTCAATATAACCCTTATCCCCATATAGGAACTCTTACATAAAATCAGTGTGTTACAGATTTATGTGGGGATAAGTTTTTGTTTTTTTTAAAAATACATTTACAGTATTATACTATATTCCTTTTTGTTTGTATCTGTTAAGGTGGTTACATTGTATATATCCATCAGTCAGAGGATACTTTGTTGCTCTGGACAGTGGGATGCAAATTAAAACCCTGCCATTTATTTTACCTTTTTGAATATCCTTTTTATTGGCAAACTACAGAACTGACACATGCTTGTTCTTTTAATTGGTTTACGGTTTTATTTTTATCTGTTGTCACCTATTTTGCACTCTCTTATATCTACATTTTACCTTTCTATCATGGCCAGCATTAAGTTTTTCAGAAATTTGAGCTATGTTAACTCTTCTGTGTGATCAGACCAGACGGCTCCTACGTGCTTTAAGAGTCGTAGGCGCCCATGACCCTGTCGCTGGTTCACCAGTTGTCCTTCCTTGCACTACTTTTAGTAGGTATTAACCACTGCACACAAGGATCACGATTTGCCGTTTTGGAGATGCTCCGACTCAGTCATCTAGCCATCACTATTTGGCCCTTGTCAAAGTCACTCAGATCTTTTCGCCTGCCCATTTTTCCTGCTTCCAAAACATGAAATTCAAGAACTGACTGTTACTTGCTGCCTAATTTTTTTTTGCCCATCTTATATTGCAGATTTAGCCTTGTATTTATGATTTTTGATTTATGCAACCTTTCTGTCTGAATTGATTGTCAGTATTATGCTCTATTGATGACTAGATAACTGCTTAATACTTTTCTATCCTCCATGTCTCCTTTACTCTGAATACTTCTATCCAGTCACATATGTAGACATGGTTCTCTTATGTTCTATACTTTTAAAATAGTGCTGTAAATTTGACATATGCTGATATTCTTCTATGACCAGCCTGTATCTCAAGTTATGTCATTACTTGCTTGTTGTCCGATGCATGCACTACCAAAATAAAGAAAGTCAACAACAACAACAAAAAAGCTTAGTGAAGTGCATTATGTGTATTAAGTTTAGCAACTTCCCCTTTGCCCACTATAAACTGGCACTTTTATAAGTGAATTTTTTTAACCTCCCCAACTGTCAGTCAGACAGCAGATTTAATAAAAATAAATAACTTACATGCATATTTTCTTTGAAAGTATATTTACAGTGTTGGTTTAAAAAATGTATGTTGGATTTCAGATAATACACAGGCAGCTTTGTAAGGATTTAGCTGAAGCTGCATAATCTTGCAGTTGCTGATACCCAAAAGTAGTGGGAATTTGAGTGTAAAACTGTGCAGAATTCACAAACAACCCCCAAAGGTGACATCGCCGGAGGGGAAATGTAAAGGTGAATTTTACTTCTTTGAACCAGTCCCTCACAGGCACGGCCATCTTCCTCCGGCAGGTCCTCTTCAGCTCTTGGCATTTCAGCACCAGGAGCCAACGTCCCTGCTGTACTGAGTGTACGGAATACAGCATTGAGGTATACGGAGGATTCCGCAAGATCCTCCATAGACAGAGCCAATTCCCTGCAGCCATCACTGAAAGACGGTGGTAGTTCCATGCAGTGTCTAGAAGTGTCAAGCATTGAAAATATGCACAGACAAAGTAGTCACTTTGTCTAAATATATCTCTTAAAAGGGTTGGAATGTCAGTGAAATACTCTCTTTTTTTTTTTTAAAGGGGGGGAGGGGGAGGTAGAGGGACGATAGTGCTGCTTTAATGCTATTATCAACAGCTGGCCCGAAACCATTTGCCAGTATAGGAAAGATGGTATATCCTCCTGCATTAACAGCTATATAAGCCCCTGTTACCTTTAATCGGGCAAGGACATTCCATTTTTTTTTTTAAATCTTTATTGACTTGCAGAATATCACAGATCAACACAAAAAATACATTGTTACATGCGAGAGGTGGGGGAATAGGTTAAGGGTGGCACATGTACTGCTAATCAGAAAAATGGGCAGCAACACACCAAAAGGCAAACGACTTAAAGCGGCACTGTCATGCCGAATCCTGTTGTTTTTTTTTTAACCCGCCTCCACTATCTCTAATTGACCCCCTAGTGATCCCCAAATGCCCCTAAGCCCCCGACATTCCCTATTTTTTTATCTTTATTTTCTGCCCCGATATTTATTCAGGGCGCTGCCATTTTTGTGTGGGTAGAGGAAGTCCCTGTGGGACACGTCATCTGCCCACACTAGATAGACCGTGAGATTCCCGCACATGCTCAGTGAAACACCTGGACATGCGAACGGGAATTTCATCTATTCATTCATTCATCAGACAGCCGAATGAATGAATAGAAATGTCAGACGAACAAACTAACACTGTGTATCAGTGTTCATTTGTTCGTTCAGTTTATTACAAGGAGGGAGCTACCGGCACGCAGCTCCCTCCTTGTAATATGTAAAGATAGAAGCGGCAGGGAGCAGTGCTCCCAGCCACTTCATAAGCCCCCCAGATCCCTCCTCACTCTATGGGGGTCAATATGACCCCCATAATAGCATAAGGGAGATTAAAATGTGGGGGGCTTAGGGGCATTTGGGGGTGACTAGGGTGTCAATTAGAGATAGTGGAGGCCGGAGGGGGGGGTTAAAAAAAACCAAAAAACAGGATTCGGCATGACAGTGCCGCTTTAAGGACACATGACTTGTCACGATTCCCTTTTATTCCAGAAGTTTGGTTTTAAGGGGTTAAGAAAGTGCTGCGGCCTTTTGCGAAGTAAACTGGCCATATTGTTTGCTTTGCGATAGCTGGAACACTGTATATATACATGCTTTCCACTGTTGGTCCTGCTGTTGGAGGTTACAGAAGGGACTGTGGACTGTCTTAACAGTTAGACTGGCCTGATTGATTCCCTTTAGAGCGACCCTTCACAGCATCCTGGTGCACTGCATCCATTACATCTCAGCTTATCCTACTTGGTTCTGTGGACGGGCCCCAGGTACTTTGGGACAGTATCAGCATTCCTAGTATCTACTTCCGCCTGGATACATACAAGAAGGGCACTCACTGGTCTTCGTAACTTGCAAGCTTTAGTCACCAATGTTCGGTAACTTTACAGTATCATTGATTCAGTCCTCATCCGGCCTTTTCATCAACTACAAGGGCACCCACTCACTACAGCAAAATTCACCACGCATGTTAGAATCTTATTGGGAAAACTGGGTTACAACCCAGCTTCGTTCTCCGGGCATTCCTTCCGCATAGGAGCCGCTTCATCAGCTTCTAGTACAAACACCCCGGTCCACATCATTAAGAGACTGGGTCGTTGGAAATCCTCCATATACAATACATACATTCCACAAACAGAAAGAGAGCTCCATCAAGCCTTCAGGAATTTAGTTATGTAACAAATGCAATAAAGTGTGTTTTTTCAAACTTCTCTTTTGCCCTCTTTTATTTACAGGCCCACTCGGACGTTGGTTTCGGCACACCACAACCAACTTTCATCCCAGTCACTATCCATTACATATTAAATTCCGAGCACAAGTAGAAAGGCCATTAGGCCTGAATTTGTGGGAGGAGTAAGTCCCCTACTTAAGCTCCCAGCCCCTACTCACCTCTGACGCTAGCGTTCAAGTGTTCCCCACCCACCAGCACCCTTAAGAACATACAATTCTCCTTGGTGGGCCCTCTTTTATTTACAGGCCCACTCGGATGTTGGTTTCGGCACACCACAACCAACTTTCATCCCAGTCACTATCCATTACATATTAAATTCCGAGCACATACATACACACACACATATATATATATATATACACACACACACACACACATATATATGTGTATATATGTGTGTGTGTATATATATATATATATATATATATATATATATATATATATATATATATATATATATATATACATACATACACACACACACACACACACACACACACACACACACAAATAGGTAGCTGCACTTACGGATTTTAAAAGTCCAAAATGCATTGATAAATGTTAAAAAAGATGATCAACGTTTAAGTCCTGCATAGAGGACATTCATCAGGATAGAGATAGATATATAGAGATATAGATATATATATATATATATATATATATTTTTTTTTTATATTGTATTTGATCCTGATGAAAGTCCTCTATGCAGGACTGAAACATTGATCGTCTTTTTTAACATTTATCAATAAATTTTGGACTTTTAAAATCAGTGAGTGCAGCTACCTATTTGGAAGAATGGATAATACAGCCTTGGCTTGCTAGCACCCGGTTATAAAGGGACACTAAAGCGTGAGTGCAAGAGCATTATTTTATTTTATATATATATATTTATTTTTTTCCATGTATGCTGCTTTATATTCTTGACACTGGTTTATTTTTGGTATGCATTATACTGTTTTTTTGATTCTATATGTATGCTGATTCTACACATGTAGTGTTTTTAATGTTAATCCCCCTTGTTTTTTCCGATTGCAGCCCAGTTGGGCTTACAACAACAAATCACTTATTAGTATCACTTTCCCTTTTACAAACAAAGGAGGAAGGGAAACTGCACACATTCCATTGTGTAGTTTCATAATCCTTCTTGAGCTCGGGAACATAACATCGGTAAAAAGGCTCTCAAAGTATAGAAATAAAGGTGATAAATAGGAAGAAGAATCTTTGTGGGCATGCCCAATAAATAAATATATGATGCTTATGCGAAGGCACCGAGTTTTGTTGGACGTATATGAAATGGCTGAAAGAGATTTGCCGGATGATAAAAGGAGAGAATCTAAGACATTAGATTTAGCAAGAAAAAAAAAAAAAAATGAAACTCACATTTTTTCGGCTTGTAATAGCTTGTTGCACCCACAACATCTCCATGGCAAGGTGGCTCCGATGTTGTCTCAGCTCATGCAGATTATTTAATGGTATTCCTTTAAAGATATTGGAAAATATTTTACTCTATTTGCTACGAAGACAGGAGAATGAAAAAAAATATATATATGTCCAAGTTTTCCCTATTGCTATGACAACCATGGAAACCTTTACACTACATAAACAACAACTGCAATTATGCTTGTAGACTTAAGCGTCAGATTTACTCACAAAATGTCAAGTTAACCTGGGTTTTGATGAGTAGGTACTAGGAATAACTCAGCAGGTTTGCTCAGCACCTGCAAACATTCATAGGTCAATACCTACTCAATACAATTATGGTGGAAGCTGTGTCCTGCAGCTTCGAGGTAGAATTGAGAGCCCCCAAGATCATAGAAGAGCATTTGGGATCTGATGAACATTTGTGGTGACCCTGTGCATGCATCCAACCTTCCCCATAGGAAAGCATTGACTCAGTGCTTTCCTATGGTGGTTTCTATGTCACAAAATCGTGTTTTACTGCATCAGAAGTGTCTCTAGAGGCTGTCAGGAAGAGCCATTGAACATGGACTTAACCCTGCAATGTAAACATTATAGTTTCTTAAAATCTGCAATGTTGTATATTGCAGGGTTAAACCTAAAGAAACACTGCACCCAGGTCACTTCATTGAGATAAAGTGGCCTGGGGTACTTTAGTGGTTCTTGAATGAAGTGGTCTGAGTTCTGTGTCCCTGTCATTTTAGCCATTTATGTTTCCATTACACCTATAGTGGCTGCCTCCATGAGCAGCATTGGACTGGATGAGAAAAAGAAGTGATGCCGGAGGGATAATGTCATGGGAGGAGGAGTGGGCGGCTGGAACAAGTGAGTCAAAGCACCAGGATAAAGGGAAGTAAAAACTCTTCTTTTTTTTTTTTTATTTAATTTAGAGAGACCCCTAACCCTAAATTGAGAGGAGAACACTAAAGAATTAAGAACACGTTTGTATTCCTAAGAATGTAGTGCTCCTTTAATAACCCCTTATGGACACATGACATGTCATGATTCCCCTTTATTCCATAAGTTTGGTCCTTAAGGGGTTAATTGAAAGGGAAGAGCATGAATTCTTCTGAATTCTGAAAAATGAACTATATTTTAATAACATTATTTTATCTTCATAAGCTTTATGCTAATTATACAATGATTCCTACTAGTGCTTTGCTTTGATGCAACCCCTGCCACAACACTTGCTGCAAATGCACAAATCTGATTGGCCAATGCTTCCCTATGAGAAAAGTCACTACAAGAGAACTATAATTCCCTCATACTGAGAGAGGAAGCTTGACCGACATGGAGGCGTCCCAATCCTGTATTAAAGTGCATTCTCATGAAATAGACACGTCATAGGGACACTACTAAATTTGCAAAGGCCCAATATAGACAAATTCATTTTTAGACCTGTACCTGTTAGTGTCTTTAAAAAACATCTTAATAATCTAAAAATGAAAAACCAGTCCGGACCTGATCAAATCCCAGCAATGCCGTTGAAGCTCAGTGCGCCGGCAATTGCTAAACCCGTCGCAACTCTAATTAACGAATCCTTGGTGTCTGGATACATAACCAAACTTTGGAAGACTGCGAGAGTAGTGTCTATCCATAAAAGTGGTGCCACTACTTTGGTTTCTAACTATCGCCCAATATCATTGCTCCCGGATTTGTCAAAAATCTTAGAAAAATGTGTGCATACACAACTATGTGAGTACTACCAACAATCAAACTATCTGACCTCTGATCAATCGGGCTTTCGCCAGAATCACTCCACTACAACTGCCCTCTTAAAAGTTTGCAATGACATCCAAACTGGCATGGAACAAGGAGCCCTAACTGGAGCTATTTTCCTTGATTTTGCTAAGGTCTTTGACACAGTAGACCACGACATTCTACTGCACAAACAAAAACTCAGGTATTGGTGATCGTTCGCTAACCTGGTTTCGATCGTATGTATCAGATCGCTCGCAATATGTGTCCATTTCTGACAGCGACTCCCTCCCTATCCCAGTCACGTGTGGTGTTCCCCAAGGTTCCATTCTCGGCCCCCTACTATTTATATTATTTATAAATGATTTGCCTAATGTCTGCAAATCCTCAAATGTACACATGTACGCAGATGACACCGTAATCTATGCAAGCAAATCCAATCTACCGCAGCTTGAGGCTGTGCTCCAAGACCAGTTTACAGAGGTAGAAAAGTGGATCGCAAAAAACAAACTCTTCCTGAACACTGACAAAACTGTCACAATGATCTTTGGAACAGTACCTAAATTACACAAATTACACAATTCCCACCTATCAATTAAAACAAATTCAAATGGCACACTGACCGCTGTCCACTCTTTCAAATACTTGGTTATGATGTTAGACCCCAATCTATCTTTTGGCCTGCACATAGAAAAGCTTGCATCTAAACTTTAAAACTAGGTGCCCTGTACAGAAACAAATCCTGCCTAAGCCCTACAGTAAAGGAAAAGATTGTACAGCAAATGCTGATGCCAATCATTGATTATGGGGATGTAGTATATGCATCTGCATCGCCATCCCACATTAATAAACTCAACACATTGTATAACTTGTTCTGCCGAATTGTGCTACAATGTAATTACAGGACTCACCATTGTGACATGCTAAAAGAACTAAACTGGCTGTCGCTGGAATCCAGACGCACCCTTCATCTTTCCAGCCTTGTGTTTAGAGCTTTTCTGGGAAACTCCCACCCTACCTGAACAAAATGCTTTCCCCAGCTGTTCACTCTTCCTATAAGCTCCGACCCAGTACCAACACTTTACTTAGTCTACCTCAATACAAAAAGAAAGCAGCCCGATCCTCCTTCTCCTACAGAGTACCGCAATTGTGGAACGACCTCCCGCACAATTTAAAATCTTCCCTAAGCCTAAAGTCCTTTAAGAGATCCCTCTCTACATACCTCAAAACAGAATGCATCTGTCATGGTTGATTATATATTTCCTACCTGTTCTATGTTAACTTTTGTATTTATTGTGTATTAATATTGGTTTTGTATTTTATTGTACCCTAATGTAACAATGCAATGATTTGTGGACCCAGGACATACTTGAAAACGAGAGAAATCTCAATGTATCTTTCCTGGTAAAATATTTTATAAATAAATAAATATAGTCACCACTACAGCTTAATGTAGTGGTTCTGGTGTCTATAGCCTGTCTCTGCAGGCTTTTCAATGTAAATGCCGCCTTTTCAGAGAAAAGGTAGTGTTTACATTGCTGCCTAGTAACACTTCTAGTGGCTGGATTAACCCTGCAATGTAAACATAGCAGTTTCTCTGAAACCTGGGGGACCTGGCACCCAGACCACTTCATTGAGCTGAAGTGGTCTGGGTGACTATAGTGGACATTTAAATAAAGTGAACTAGCTAGGAATAATTACATGTACTTTGAAAGTACAATACACAACAGTAGCCAAGTTCTTTAACATTGTCCTTCTCACCTGTTTCCAGCACTTTTCCACTCTGAATAGTTTGTCTGCTCCAATTCAGGAATCCTTGGCTTTGGTTAAGCGACACTTTAGCTTTTGAGCTTTGACTTCTATCATTTGACACTTCAAGTTTGGTGTCATCCAGGTACGCTAAATTCTCAGGACCAATCCAATCCAGGCAGCGGTCCTTCTCTCGGATACTCCCAGTCATGCATATACTATTCTCTTGGTCAGTATCCAATAGGAATCTGTCACACTTACCATTAGTTTCAAACATGTACTTATCCCTCTCTTCATTAGCCAGGTGTCTCTCTTTGCCTTTATCAGCCTCTAAGCTACATCCTGTTCTCCAGGATAGGTTTCTTTCCGGCCCAGCTAGTTCCCTCTCCAGTCCAGGCCTAGCTAGGTCTCTCTCTTGTCCTGCTATGTTTTGCTCTGACTGATTACAAGAATGGCCACCCTCTGAGCTTTTGTCCTGTAGATACTTGTGGTCTCTAAATGCATCAGTGGAAGACGGATTTATGTTCTCAATGTTTTCTAAAGACTCATGTATACTTGAATCATTGTGAATATTTTGCATGTTTCGACAGTTCAGTTCCTTCTTGGCAATTCCCTAAGAGAAAGACAATAATTCAGAGTCTGTCAAGTAAGACGCTAGAAGATCTAGATGTACGTCACCTTCTTAGTAAGTTAAGACAATACTAACCGGTTGGATGAACTGTGGTATGGAGACTGGACCTTTCTCCCAACGCAGGGTTATCTCTTCTCCCTCAATCTCTCTTGCAATTGCTGCATATTCCTTCTGCACAATATGCATCTTCTGACGCACTAGAAAACCACGCACATAGGCCTGTGAGCATGAATCACATAGAAAATTAAAAATAAATAGTTATGTAAGTGAAGGCACAAGTAAACCATGAATCAGAAGGCAACATGCCTTCTCCTAGCTTACAAAATACCTTAATTTGTGTTTAATCAAATTAATGGTTCCTTGACAGGCCATCTCACAAAAAGCTCTGTTCACAAAAGATCCCTCCAATCCTTAAACAAATACCAAGTATGAATTCCCTATACAATTACAGTTTCAACTCTAAACTAACTTACTTTATATCTCAGGCATAGGAAGTTCCTCAAAACTTGAACCTCTTCAATATGGCTTATGTTCTTGTTTTTAAACTGAAACTACTGTGACTGCAGGGACACATCTTTAAAACTTGCTAAATTCAGTTCTCTACACTAGTTTATCTTCAGTTCTGTGCACTAATTCATCTTGAGCTTTCTGCTGCTTATGACAGTGTGGACCACTGCCATCTTCTCAACCTTCATAACTCAGTGTTACATTACATAGAGAGAGACAGTGAAAATTCTAGTTATGATGAAAGGATAGAGGTGAAAGTGAGACCGACAGGGTAAGTTACTCAAGTAAATTCAAAGTGAATTTCAAATTTAAGTTCAAAATAACCGAACTAGAAAAATTCTCTAAGGCTGCAATACTTTGGCTGTTCTGGCCTTAAAAGGGACTCTCCAGGCATCAAAACAACTTAATCTTAATTAATTTGTTAGGGTGTGAGGAGACCTTTGGAGGCACTCTTACCTCAAGGGATTAAACCACACTAGAACGGTTTAATTCCATAATTGTCTCCAGCGGCGATGTCCACTCCTCCCCTGGCGGCATCTGGCTTCTGAATTTTCAGATTCAGAAAGTGCAGAGTGCCGCTGGGCCGGGGCGCCACTGATTGACTTCAAGAACGGTTTAACCTCTTCAGGTAAGAATGCCTCCAGGGTCCTCCTGACACCGAAACAACTTAATTTAGATGAAGTTGTTTTGGTGCCTGGAGTGTCTCTTTAAGTTTTAAATTCACTTTGAATTCTCACTTTACTAAATAACACTGTGTGAGAAAAATAGCAGGAAAGAGACAGTGTGTGAGACTGAGTGAAAGAAAGAAAGGAGAAATTGACATGAGAACAACTAACAAAAATAAAGGAAATGTAGAGAAATGGAAGGGAGATGTGAGACACACAAACGGTAGCAAATTGGATATTTGCCTAGCCTAGACAGTTGCAATAAGAATTGTGTTCTTTGGTTTTGTAAATTTCTTTTATTCAAGGAATTTTCATTTTATGCAGAAAGAGAGGGAAGAAAAAGAAAACACATTGTCGCGGACACGCAGGTCCAATAAAGGCTTTCCCAGTTTATGTCTCAGACATGAGATAGTTATTGTGAACGACATAGTGACATGCAAGTCATCAACCAGTTTAAAGACGTGTACTAGTTGGGCTCATGGGTCCTATAAACCTTTGTGTGGATGGGGTTTTCCCTCTCTCGTACGGTTGTTGTGGCTATAGTATATCACCCAGTGTGACAAAGGTGGTTGATGTCTTGTGTCTAGGCAGGTGGTGTGTTTTGACCAACCGTATGGGGGAGAAATCGGGTGTTGTGTGTGCCTTGCGCGTTCAGTTCTCAGATCTTTGGTGACAGTGGGGTATACCCCTGTTGATCTGGCTGGGGTGGCGGTGGTTTGTACCGTCTTTAACTCCCGCCTTTGGCTTGAGTGCAAAGTTAGGCTTGTTTCTCCTTGTCTTATCCTTAACTGTGAACCCCTGTCCCTTTTCCTGTTTTTCTTGTCTGCTTCTCTTTGTCTCCTTCATTCTGGACTTCCTTACACCTTTCCCTTTCCTTTCCCTTCCTTCTCTTTCTCTCTTTTTACTCTTGGTTTTCCCCTTCTTGTTCTTTTCCTTCCCCCTTTGCTACCCTTATCTTCCCCCTCTCTTCCCTTCTTTGCTTAGGGGGTGCCCCTCCGTCTGGAGCCTCTATGTCTTATGAACTTCTCTACTTTGTCGCCTTCCCGTCCGCGGGTTCCCCCAGGGGGGGCCAGTGGGAGGGGGGGGGATTGGGAGTGGGAGAGGGGGAGGGGGTGTTTTATTTATTATGATGTTGATTCTGGTGATTTCCCTGTTTGTTTGTGTAGTCACTCCCACCGTCAAGATGGTCGTTTGTCTCTTCAGGTGTCTGCAGTCATGTCAGCAGGTCCTGGAAGTCAGCGTTAGTCGAGGTCAGTATCCAGTGTGTCCAGATCGTCATGTACGTCTGGGTCCTCCCCTCTGCCAGCAGGGAGAGCTCTTCCAGAGCTCTCAGCTCCTCCATTTTTTGGTACCACGTCCCCAGCGGGGGCGCGCATTGTTTTTTCCAGTAGAGGGGGATTAGGCTTTTGGCTACATTAAGTATCCGTATTGTTAAGGATTTTTTATATGTTGATGCTTTCATCTTGGTGTGGTGGATGAGGAATGTTGCGGGGTTCATGGGTGGTGGGGAGTCTGTGAATCTTTTGATGATCGTGTGGATGGTTGCCCAGTATGGTTGGATGATTGGACATTCCCACCATATGTGGAGGTATGTTCCCTTGTGCGTGTTGCACCTCCAGCATACGTCGTCCTTCGTGGGGTCGTATAGGTGTGTGTGGAGTGGGGTGCGGTACCAAAGGGCCAGTATTTTATATGCTGTTTCTTGTGTTCCGCTAGATGGTGCGCAGTGTAGTGAGAGGGTGCAAATTTTGTCCCATTGGTTGGGTGTGAATGTAGTGCCTAAAAATGTTTCCCATTTCCCCATGAAGCTTGGGGGTGGCAGCCTCCTCAACCGCATGATCATTCCATAGAGCGTTGACAGGCCCCTCGGCAACGGGTCCGGGTCCATGCATATCTCTTCAAACGTTGTTAAGGGTCTGAGAGTGTGATTGTTTCGGGTGGTTTCTTGTATGAGCCCTTTTAGTTGTCGGTGTCTGAATTGGAGCATGAATGGGTGATTGGAGTTCCCCGTCATGGTCTCTAGTGATTTGATGCGGCCGTTGTCTATGGCATGGAAAAGCCTCGGCATGTCTTGTCCCAGCAGCTGGACCAACGTTCTTGGTTCCCTTCCTGGCGGGAAGACCTCATTATGGATTAGAGGCATCATTGGGGATGGCGTGGAGGTGAGCGAGAGTGGCACCGCCAGAGCTTGCCAAACCCGTACGGTCGCTTTGATTAGGGGGTGTGGAGCAGCTAGCTGCCTACTTTGTTGGGGGTCCAGCCAAGGGAGGACTGCCATCGGTCTCTCCACCAGGGAAGACTCCACATCTTTCCAGAGTTTCTCCACTCCCTGTTTAGACCACTCCACTATCCTTTGGATGTGTGTGGCTCTATGGTATCTCTTAAAATCTGGCAGAGCTAGGCCTCCCTTGACCTTCAGTAGTGTGAGCATGTCGTGTTGTATCCTGGCCTTCTGTCTCTGCCATGTGAACCGGAGGGCCATCGATCTAAGGGAGGTAAAAAATGCCTCCGGTATGGTCGCGGGGATAGCTTGAAACAGGTAGAGGATCCTCGGTAGGATGTTCATCTTGAGCACTCCCACTCTTCCAAACCATGAGAGGCGCACCTGGTCCCATTCCTGCAAGTCCTTCTGTATAGTGGTCAGGAGCGGTTGGAAATTCGCTGCGTACAGTTGGGCGAGGTCGTTTGTTAGCACTGCACCGAGGTATTTTAGGGAGGTGGCCGACCATTGGAATGGCAGCGCTCGTTTGAGGGCCGTCACTCTGGACTTCGAGACGGAGACGTTGAGGATCGTGGATTTGGAAAAATTGATTTTAAAGTTCGAGAGCTCCCCGTATTGTTCGAATTCCTTCATTATCGTGGGCATGGATGTTTCCGGCTTAGTTACGAAGAACAGTAGGTCGTCCGCATATGCTGCCACTGCGTGTTTCCCAGCTCCTGTCTTCAATCCCGGGATATCCGGGTTGTTTCGGATCGAGTTCAGGAATGGTTCCAGGGCTAGCACAAAGAGCAGGGGGGAGAGGGGGCAGCCCTGTCTGGTTCCATTCCTGATCACGAAGGGGTCTGTGAAGGCTCCATTTATGCAGATCCGTGCTGTTGGTTGTGAGTACAGGGCCCTGATCCAGGACATCATGTGAGGCCCCATCCCTAGTTTGTCGAGGACCTGGAACATGAAGTCCCATGCAATCCTGTCGAAGGCCTTCTCCGCGTCCGTGGAGAGCAGGAGAAGGCCCTCCTGTCTAGTTTTTGCGAGGTGGATCAGGGAAAGCGCTCTGATCGTGTTATCGCGCGCTTCTCGGTGCGGGGTAAATCCCACCTGGTCCTTATGAATCAAGTTCGGGAGGTGGGCCTGCAGTCTCTGTGCGAGTATCTTCGTAAAAAGCTTCAAGTCGTTATTTAACAGTGAGATGGGGCGATAGTTCGCACAATGTTCAGGATCTTTCCCGTCTTTAGGAATTAGGATGATGTTGGCCGCCAGGGTCTGTGTTGGGAATATCTGCCCGTCTCGGATCGCATTGAGTGCCGTCGTGAGGCGTGGAACGAGAAGTTCCGCAAAGGTTTTGTAGTAGCGTGCTGGTAAGCCGTCCGGTCCGGGGCTCTTGCCCGTCTTGGCCGTTTTGAGAGCCCATGCTACCTCGTGCGTCTCGATCGGTTCGTCTAGCTCTGTACTTGCCTCCTGTGAGATGCAGTTGCCGATGCGCGGTTCTAGGTAGTCTGTTATCCGCTTCTTCCTTTCTGTGTCCGCTCCCTGTCCCCTGGGCGGGTCGAGGGAATAGAGGTCCGCATAGTACGCCCTAATGGTGTTGGCCATCTCGGTCGGCATACTGTGTAGCTTCCCCTCTCTGTCTCTGATCCCCGGGATGTAGGCCGCTGCTCTCTTTTTGGCGATCATGCGGGCAAGGAGGGCACCACATTTGTTAGCATTGGTGTAAAAGAACGCTTTGGAGTGTAAGTGTGCTCTATGGTGATTGGCATTCAGGATAGAGGAGAGTTCCCTCCTGAGTACTGTTAGCTGTGTCCAGTCTGCTATCAGGTGGGTTTGTTTGTGTCTACATTCCAAAGTCTGTATGTCCTGAATTATTGTTTTAAGTCTGGCAGATTTAGCTTTTTTAAGCGCGGCGCTTTTCGCTATGAAGTGGCCTCTCATTACGCTTTTATGAGCCTCCCATAGGCATAGGGGCGTGACCTCAGACGTATCGTTTTCTGTAAAGTATTGCGTAAGTCTTTCCCTGGCTTCTGTCGTCACTGTAATGTCCTTTAAGATCGATTCGTTCAGTCTCCAGTTACTGCAGGTGGGCCTATAGAGTGGGGAGGTTAGTGTCATCGTAATTGGAGCATGGTCTGACCATGTCGCTGTTCCAATGTCCGTTCGTCGAACCTCAGTCAGGTGGTAATGTGGAATGAGGAAATAGTCTATTCTAGAGTACGTTTTGTGGGGGATAGAGTAATAAGTGTAGTCTCGGTCTTCAGGGTGTAAAGCTCTCCAGCAGTCTACCAGACGCTTCTCTCGCAGCGTTTTTGATATGTTTGTTAAGATATGCTGGGGTGTCGTAGAGAGGCCTATGGATGTGTCTATGGTCGGCGTCAGGGATGTTTGTTAAGATATGCTGGGGTGTCGTAGAGAGGCCTATGGATGTGTCTATGGTCGGCGTCAGGGCCACATTGAGGTCCCCTCCAACGACCAGACAGCCCTCCGCGAAGCCCTCTATTGTTCTAAGTGCTGTGCGTAAAAATTGGTGTTGGCGTTTATTGGGGGTATATAGGTTTGCGAACGTGTATGTGCGGCCTGCAATTGTGCCTTTGACACATATATACCGTCCGTGGCTGTCTCGCAGTGTGTCAGTAGGGGCAAAATGTAGCGATCTATGGATCAGGATTGCTGTGCCTTTGGACTTTCCCTCTGGGTTATTACTCAGGAAACATTGTGCGTAATGTTTGTCCGTCAGTCTGGGCACGTGGCCCTCTTTAAAGTGTGTCTCCTGAATGAAGACTACCTGTGACTTTTGACTGTGGAAGTGACGTAGGGCATGCGAGCGTTTTTCGGGTATGTTCATGCCTTTAGCGTTGATGGAGAGGAATTTAATCTCCGCTTGTTTGTGTGTGTTGTGACGTGGCATGTTTGCTATGTTTCAGGAGAATCAGGGTATGGTGGGGAGGGTTGGGGAGTGTGGGTGGGCACTAGAGGGTTTGGTTTACTCCTCAAGTGTGGGTCTGAAGTCGGGGGTGGGTCCCCCTGGGTCCCGCGGGCAGGCGCGGCTTTCAACAAATAGTAACAAATGTAACAGTAATAAACAACAATAATAAACTGTGTCGGTTTTCCAAAAAAAAAAGACTAGGGTGTGGGCTAGGTAGGAGTCAGCTGTGCAGCACCTGTCGGCACCGCTGAGTACTCCCGCCGGTATCCTGGTGCCCCTGTCTACCGGGGACGTGGCCCTCTAACTCCCTCACCCCGTAGGGCCAATAGTGGTGGATCCTTCTCCTTTCTGGGTCTCCATTGTCCCCCGACCCCCTCTGCTCGGAAGCTATATAATCAGTACAGGTGGAGCTGGCAGCCCCTGGGCCCAGCCCATCCCGGCCCTTTCCCTATCTCCCAGGTGTGTGTTCGAGTGCGTGCTCGTTTGGTTGACTTTACCCTGCTAGTCTCTCCCCTGTGCCCCTAGGTCTCCTTTGCCGGGTGGTGAGTTATGTTGCCGTGTTGTAGCTTGTAGGTTTGTGGTTTAAGGTCTATAGCTAGCTGGCCTTGCATCTCCCATTTCGTGTCCCTCCCCTTGCCGTGGTGTTCTGGGGGTCCAGTTGGCATTGGGGGCCTGTCCCTTCTCCTAGTACTAGCCCTCCCTGGTGACCTCCGCTCCCTCTCTCTGTTGGTCTCTCTCTCTGTTGGTCTGGAGTGAGCCTTTGTTCAGCCTCAGCCTCCCCTTTCCCAAATCCCCCCACCCAAACAGGAAAGAGGGAAACCGAGAAAAGAAAAGACCCCCCTGGAGGAAGGGGAAAGCAGAGAGGAAGGGCAAAACAACCCCATACGTCTTCCCCCCCAGTATACCCAGAGTCCCCAGTGTTTCTTTCGTGGGTTCCTCGATTGTACTTGCAATAATGTCTCGTCTGCCCACTTCTGATGATCCCCCCACCCTCCCATGGCACGTGGGTGTCTGAGTGTTTTAACGGCTAAGTGTGTGGCCCATGTGTGGTGTAGGCCTGCGTGCAGAGTGTCCCATTGCATAGTTACGAGTTCCATGCGTGGCTCCTGTCTTGTTTGTCCGTTAACGTGTTGCCCCTGCTGGCCTCACGGTCTCCAGTCTTGTTCGGTGTCTGCGCTGTGTCGGTGCAGGTTCCCCCTGGGGTGTAGGTGGGCTGTTGTAGAAATCCAATGGATCTGGCCAGGTCATATTAAGGGGTGGCAAGTGGAGATCTTCTGACAATTCCTGTAGGTCCTGTGGGGTACGGATCGGTCTAGGGCCGTTTTGGGTGGTGGCGATCAGGCCTGTGGGGAATGTCCAGCGGTATCTAATTTTCTGGGCCACTAGCATTCTGGTGAGCGGTTTTAGTGCCCTGCGATATCCCAAGGTAGCTGGGCATAGGTCCGGGTACAGTTGGAGATGTGAGCCTTCATGGGTGATTTCTCCCTTGTTGCGTGCTGCATACAGAATTTCCTCCTTCAAGGCGTATAGTGCTAGGCAGCAGATCACGTCCCTAGGTGGAGCCTCTGGTGGGCCCCTGGGTCTCAGTGCTCTATGGGCTCTGATGAACTCTATGGGGGTCTCTCTGGGGCGGCTCAGGAGCTCGTTGAAGATGGCGGTGAGTGTGACTTTAAGCTGGGCGGGTGAGTCTTCACCTTCTTGTAGGCCTCTTACTCGTAGGTTCTGTCTGCGGCCTCTATTGTCCAGGTCTTCTATATGTCTGGCCATGGCTTGCATTTGGGCAGATCTTTTAGAGTAGTTTGTGGCTTGTGCCGTTTGTGTCGCAGTGAGGGCGTCGTGATCTGCTTCTATTTGGGCCATGCGGTCTGCCATCCCCTGAATGTCTGCCCTCATCAGCTGCAGGTCTGACTTAATAGATGACTGGAGGGCTGAGGTGGCTTGGGTGAGGTCTGCCCGGGTGGGTAGAGCCCTTAGCAGGGCCATCCAGTCTGCGGGGGGGGTTTCCCCTGTGTCCTCCCGGGCTGGGGAGAGGGAGTTTGGCGTGGAGGCCTCAGATTGCAGGTAGGCCTCAGATGACGCCTGGGAAAACGGGTCCGGCGTCGCGGACAAGTACTGCCGCATGGAGGGGTTTTGGCTCACCTGGCGGGTCCCCGGTGGTCTGGGGGTGTTCCCCGCCTTGGTGTGTTTCCCCATTTTCCTGTCCGTGGCTGGTAATTTGTGCGTGGCTGAGTGGGGCCGGAGGAGCTCAGTCTCTATGCGGCCATTTCGTTCCGCCGCTAGGCCACGCCCCTCAAGAATTGTGTTCTTTGGATCTTCCAAGGTATACATGTTTTTATTTTTCCTGTGTACGGTACTCTCCGTACAATACAGGTTAATTTTGATCCAGACAAGCATAGGTAATTGCAGTGCTTGGAGCCTCTGCCAGAACACCCACAGCATGGTGAAATAATAACTAATATACAAACACAAGCAGGCCTGTTATGTTGTAGCACAGTTGGGGCAAGTCCTAGGTCTGCTCTGTGACATATGGACAAATGGATAACAGTTCAGCGCTAAATAATCTAAAAGAAACTAAAATAAGTATAAAAGCAGCAACCTATAGAAATGTTCAAAATTCAAATCCTTATCTGCTTTTCTTAGTTTATAAAAGCATTTACTGTACCAGGTTTTTCTCTCTTTTTAATGCCATTTGATAAAGCCCTGTGTGGTGAAACGCGTTTTGGCTGTTATTAGTTTGTTTTATATACTGATATATTATATTTTAATAAAGAAATATTGGCTTTTATTTTTGCCTATATATACTTTTAATTCGAATTACCTGGTCACCGATTTGGATTGAAGTACGCTACTTTCCAAGAATCCAAGGTGGGGATTGTACCACCTGTGCCACTATATTGAGCAGTAGTTCCTGCTCATATACATGTGAGTATTTTACCATTTTATTTGTTTTTTTAAATAATTCAGTGAGCACTATATACGTCTCCCATCTCTCCACATATTGAGGAATTACCCAGGACTTCATCACCCATATCCGACCAGTGGGGGATTGACGCCACTGAACGCTAAGAACACTTGAGTAAGTTTTTTTGCTCATGCTAAGGTGAGTTTTTTTTACCTACTCACAGACTTATATCTGAAAATTTGTCGACATCCTACACTATTGGAGTTCTTCTTATCTCTTTTATGTACCCACATATCGACAAGCGAATCAAGACACCTCCAACATAAGAAGCTTCAGACATTCATTTGGAGTTTATATCCACCCAAGAAAAATACAGGTTTATCTACTACTTGGGACTTTTTATTATATTTATTCATTCAATTCATATCACCTCTCTGTCCCTTCAGCGCGACCTATATACCCATTTTTGTCTACCTGCTCTGTGACATAGCCTAGTGTCCCTAACATAACAGCCTGGACACTGGCCCTGAGATGGGAAGCTGCAGTACTGTATATATTTTATATATAGTACTGCATATAATCCCCATATTGTACTGTATAGAGCCTCCATATAATACTGTATATAGCCTTCATATAATACTGTATACAGCCTACATATAATACTGTATCCAGCCTCCATATAATACTGTATCCAGCCTCCATATAATACTGTATACAGCCTCCATATAATACTGTATACAGTCTCCATATAATACTGTATCCAGCCTCCATATAATACTGTGTACAGCCTCCATATAATACTGTGTACAGTCTCCATATAATACTGTATCCAGCCTCCATATAATACTGTATCCAGTCTCCATATAATACTGTATCCAGCCTCCATATAATACTGTATCCAGTCTCCATATAATACTGTATCCAGCCTCCATATAATACTGTATCCAGCCTCCATATAATACTGTATCCAGCCTCCATATAATACTGTATCCAGTCTCCATATAATACTGTATCCAGTCTCCATATAATACTGTATCCAGCCTCCATATAATACTGTATCCAGCCTCCATATAATACTGTGTACAGCCTCCATATAATACTGTGTATAGTCTCCATATAATACTGTATACAGTCTCCATATAATACTGTATACAGTCTCCATATAATACTGTATCCAGCCTCCATATAATACTGTATACAGCCTCCATATAATACTGTATACAGTCTCCATATAATACTGTATACAGCCTCCATATAATACTGTATCCAGCCTCCATATAATACTGTATACAGTCTCCATATAATACTGTATCAGCTCCATATAATACTGTATCCAGCCTCCATATAATACTGTATACAGCCTCCATATAATACTGTATACAGTCTCCATATAATACTGTATACAGCCTCCATATAATACTGTATACAGTCTCCATATAATACTGTATCCAGCCTCCATATAATACTGTATCCAGCCTCCATATAATACTGTATACAGCCTCCATATAATACTGTATCCAGCCTCCATATAATACTGTATACAGCCTCCATATAATACTGTATCCAGTCTCCATATAATACTGTGTATAGTCTCCATATAATACTGTATCCAGCCTCCATATAATACTGTATACAGTCTCCATATAATACTGTATACAGCCTCCATATAATACTGTATACAGTCTCCATATAATACTGTGTACAGCCTCCATATAATACTGTATCCAGCCTCCATATAATACTGTATACAGCCTCCATATAATACTGTATACAGCCTCCATATAATACTGTATACAGCTCCATATAATACTGTGTATAGTCTCCATATAATACTGTATAGCTCCATATAATACTGTATCCAGCCTCCATATAATACTGTATACAGTCTCATATAATACTGTATACAGCCTCCATATAATACTGTATACAGTCTCCATATAATACTGTATCCAGCCTCCATATAATACTGTATCCAGCCTCCATATAATACTGTATCCAGCCTCCATATAATACTGTATCCAGCCTCCATATAATACTGTATCCAGCCTCCATATAATAGTCTGTATACAGTCTCCGTGAATAACTCGGGTTAGACTGAACAGACCCCATTTCTGTGAGCAGTGTGAGCATGGAGAGAGGGGACTGGCTGGGTTATTAATATATTTGTGTGTGCCTCCCTCACTGTCCCTGTTTGTGATGCCTCCTGCTGACTCTCTTCTGTCCAATTCTCCTGGCTGACAATCTCACCTGTACTATTTTTACATAATGCACATTTCTCTCATCTTCCTCCATCTTTAAACCGTCGTTTCCTTAGCAACCCGCCGCCTACCAGTGACGTATAAAACTAGGCGACATCTGTTCTACTTGTTTGTAAATCCATTCATTGAACGTCACGTCGCCACCTGCTGGCTGGCGGTAGCATTACAAACTGGAACCCTTACATTCTGAAGATCACACACACACACACACATAAGAAAAAAAGTGTAGTTTTAAATCAATGGGAAAATATATGGGTTTTTGCGGCCATAAAAATTAGCCAGGGAAAGAAAATTACAGAGATAGAAAAGTGGATCGCAAAAACCAAACTCTTCCTGAACACTGACAAAACTGTCACAATGATATTTGGAACAGTACCTAAATTACACAAATTACACAATTCCCACCTATCCATCAAAACAATTTCAAATAGCACACTGACCGCAGTCCACGCTTTCAAATACTTGGGTATGTTGTTACACACCAATCTATCTTTTAGCCTGCACATAAAACTTGCATCTAAACGTTTTCCAAAACTAGGCCCTGTACAGAAAAATCCTGCCTAAGCCCTACAGTAAAGGAAAAGATTGTACAACAAATGCTGATACCAATCATTATGAGGATGTAGTATATGCACCTGCACCGCAAACTCACCTTAATAAACATAATACATTGTATAACACATTCTGTCGCTTTGTGCTACAATGTAATTACATGATCCACCATTGTGACATGCTAAAAAAACTAAACTGGCTGTCGCTGGAATCCAGACTCACCCTTCATCTTTCCAGCCTTGTGTTTAAGAGCTTTTCTGGGAAACTCCCACCCTACCTGAACAAAATGCTTTCCCCAGCTGTTCCCACTTCCTATAACCTCCGATCCAGTACCAACACTTTACTTAGTCTACCTCAATACAAAAAGAAAGCAGCCCGATCCTCCTTCTCCTACAGAGCACCGCAATTGTGGAACGACCTCCCGCACAATTTAAAATCTTCCCTAAGCCTAAAATCCTTTAAGAGATCCCTCTCTACATATCTCAAAACAGAATGCACCTGTCATGGTTGATTATATATTTCCTACCTGTTCTATGTTAAATTTTGTATTTATTGTGTATTAATATTGTTTTTGTATTTTATTGTACCCTAATGTAACAATGCAATGATCTGTGGACCCAGGACATACTTGAAAACGAGAGAAATCTCAATGTATCTTTCCTGGTAAAATATTTTATAAATAAATAAATGTACAGGTATGTATGTAATACATTGTTCTTATTCCTGGCTAATCATGACAACATCACTTATGGGTAATACCCAAGCTCAAATTAAGGGAGGGGAGAACCAGAAGAAAAACAGAAATTGATGCAAACAAATTAAAGGGAAAGTTGCTTAGAAACATTTTTAAAAATGAGGTAAGATGTTTCTCATGATAAAAAGCTTTAACAGGGTAATAGGTGTGGGGGTGAGAGGGGGGTATACTAAATCGGTTATATATACAGGCAGTACAAATCCTTGAATCAAATTGAATTATGCCTGATATTTATCTGGTTTAATAGGTAATATTAAACCTGACCCAGTTATTCCTGCTCACGCAGGCCATTTACTGTGTCCTTCAGGCACAGAGAGGCTGAACTGTGACTGGAAGACCCATGGCACACATTAGAATGTGGCCAAAAAAAGGAAAAGAATTCTTATCCATCCGGTTGATGACAGGAAAACAACTAGTATAGTGAAGGAATTGGAACCTTTTGTACGATCAGTCTCCAGTTTCATTGGTTTGTTTCCTGTCCTGATCCGGTATGTGGGCGGAGCTACCTATAAGTGATGCTGCCTCGATTAGCCAGGAAAATGTGTTTTCATGTTAGATTAAAAAAAATGGCTTGTAAAATAAATGCCAACAGTGTTTTAGACTAAATTGTGAATTGTCAGGAATTTAAATGAGGTCACGAAAGGGTGAATTGTTGGGAATTTAAAGTTAATTTGACATTTTATAACAACACACGGAGGCTCATATTGCATATCCCTTTCTTTACTGTCCACCAATAGCGGCAAAGAATACAAAACAGAATGAAAACAATGAACATACAGTAATATAGGTCCCAGTATAATATGCAGCACTTCGCTTCCATTTCCCTCTTTCTTTGCTGCTCCAATACAAAGATAAGTACATGTCACATTTTCTCTCTGATTTACTCATTGATTTCTTGCTATTGGTATTATTATTTATTGTTATTCATTATTTGTTTTTACACTATATTGTTTTGTGGTGGAATCTCGGTAAAAATAAATTTAGTAGGCCGAGATTACCACGTGGCATGTGTACGTGCATATGCTGACGTATCGATCAGTTGGTTGCACGAGGCAAGATACGATCAGTAGTGTGCGGAGCATGTGCAAGAATACAGGATGTAGTATTCCCCTCCTCCATTGTGCTGGACAAGCCATGCGGTCAAGCAGGAAGTTAATTCTTATTTGTAATGACTGGTCAAGAGAATGTGCGGGTGGAGCTTAATATGGGAGGAGTTATGTGCCTATATAGGGAGCCTGCACTATTGTTCAGGGCTCAGAACTTGCTGTATTTTTGGTGACATTAGTCCCTCTGAGTCCCGATCAGTGATCCAATAAAGAATCTCTTCCTTCCTGAAGAAACCTGTGTCCATCCCTCTGTGCTTTGCTTCCGTCAGTTTCTCCGGTATCATTTGGTGCATTGGCCGGGAAGCTCATCGTTCAACGGTAGCTGAGAGGCAGAGGCGTGAGACCATTGGCGGATCCAGGGGGGGGGCAACGGGGCAATTGCCCCCCCCGAGATCCCCCCTGCTGGCTAACGCAGGGCTGGCATTGCCCAAGTGCCAGCCCTGCAATGTGCCTGCGGACCGGGGGGGAGATCAGAGCTCTCCCTCCCCGGTCCGCAGGCGCTGTGCTGGCGGCCGGCGAGGGAGGGAGTGAGAGAGAGGACCCGGAGCTCAGTCTGCAGCTCCTCCGGGTCCTCCTCTCGCGGGATTTAAAGCGTTGCCGCGGTTACCACGGCAACGCTCCAAATCTCGCGAGAGTGAACTCTAGCCCGGGAGCATGGGCTAGAGTTCACTCTGACCACCTGACCACCAGGGAATCACCACTGGGACCACCAGGGACGGAGAAATGTCCCCCCTCCTGCTCAATAAAGGTAAGAAGGGAGGGGGGACATATTTATTTTATTAAATTTTTAATTTTTTTTTATTAATTATTATTAAAAAGCCTCCTCCCCCCCCATTACACACACTGCCCCATTACAGGGGGGCAGTGTGTGTGTATGGGGATAGTGTTTGTGGGGCAGTATGTGTAATGGGGGGGGGAGGAGGTTTTTTTATAATACATTTTTAAAATAAATATTCTGCCCCACAAACACTCTCCCCATACACACACTGCCACCCATACACACACTGCCCCACAAACACTGCCCCCCATACACACACTGCCCCACAAACACTGTCCCCATACACACACTGCCCCCCATACACACACTGCACACCCATACACACACTGCCC